TGGCCCTGGTACAATAATCAGCGTCCCGCGTAGCAGTCGTTGTAGCAGTAGAGTTACTGCATCCGGAGCACCCGTTTGCCTGCGTGCATCTGCGCTTCGGGGGCGCTTTCCCTTTATTTGCTTGATGAACTTCCTCATCGCGGTACTACGTCATTCAAAAGCCAGCAGAAATCCATACACCACAGACGTGTTACCGTAGCCGAAGGATACAGTCCTCTTTGATAGCCATGAAGTTTAACTCTTGGGAGCAAAACTGCCTCGACTTAATCATCCTCTCCTGGTGGTACGAGTTGCTTGGCCCAGCTTCGGCATTAAGTGGCGGGTCGGTAGACCCACAAACTTTTCACTATCCAATAAACGAAGCGCCTGAGATTGTCCGCTCCAGTGCGGCGCCTAAGCCAGCATAACTGGCTAAATACGGAGTACAGTATGATTTCCGCTCTAAGCCCGGGCAAGATGGCCCATAATTATGGACTTGTAGCTGCACCTTTCCGGCGGTCTCACGTGTGCCAGAGTGGTCGGCGGCTAGATCTTCGATCTCACTGGTCGATGCATCAGATGTGCTCGGAGCCTGGGGAGAAACGCCTCCAGGGAAATTGCCATCCGGTGCAGGCTTGGTCCATGATGACGACATAACCAGCTCTGAAAAGACCAACTCCATGAGGCATGCCTCGCAACTAAACGTGGTCGATACCCAATCACCTTCTCAAAGGTGTGCTTGCTTAGTAGTAACCGGGGAAGAATTGTTCACGCTCGCAGGAATGACAGGCGATGCCAGCCAAGATCTTCATCGCGCCGTACCCCAAAGAGGGGTGAGCTGGGTGTTCAAATCACCTTCTCTTGGCACACAGCTGAATGGTGAAGAAACCCCAGCCACCTGTCGACCCGTCAGCTCAGCACCCAGAGGAGACAGCAGAGCGGATCGGTACGTTGATGGCCCAAGTCAAATTGACGTCGTCTGCCGTGTGGTCCATAAGCGACGAGCTCCTGACAATGCCTGCCAATGGTATCTCCAAGCTCTTCGAAGTTGGTGACACCGCCGCTTGAGTTCCTGTGTCAACGGAAAAAATTCCTCTTGTTAAATCCCAACGAGGCTGAATGAACTAACTCACCGATAATAATTATCTAGCTTCCCCACCCCCCACCAGGTCAATTTCTGGAACTCGCCTCGTGGCGGTTCCTAGGCGACGTCCACGCCCGCGATGTCCGCGCCGGCTTGGGCGAGGTCGGTTGCAAAAGCGAGGCCTGGACCCCGGGCAGCGCCTGTGACCACGACTCCGTGCGCCCGGCAAGGCTGAACGTGTCCAGCAGGGTCGACATTGTCCCACAGATACTGATTTGCCAGCGAAGGTTGTGACTTTGTGGTTCAGGACACGGGGAAATGCTTTTGACAAAACGCAGCGGCGATGACTATTACTCAAATCCAAAGTTCAGGTTGATAAGGCCCGGCCAAGGGACTAAGCTCCATGTGTGGATCGATCGTGTTCGCATCTGCGAGGAAAAGAGGGCCACTTCCACGGCCCGTGCACTCTAGGTATCTCCATGGAGATGGGGTGGCTGTCCATCCTCAGACTCAACTGTCACCCGGTGTGCTCCTTGATCATGGGCTGCCAATACGACTATCGCGCTGGGTACGATAGGCCTCTTTTCCAGGAATCTATCCCTGACAGCCCGTCCTTTCCTAGTCTAGTGCCTCATAGTCGGCCACAACTGGGGCGATGTTCCGTCTTTTGGCTGAAAATGCAAAAGGATGGTCTATACGCACACTATTCCTGACACCTCTCATGATATATTTCCGCCTAATTTCTGAATCTTGGTGGAGCTACATATTCTCTTTCATGCTGAATGGTTGACGCAGGTTCTTCGAGCACGCTTTGCCCGGTTGTCTACACAGCGCGCAAAATCGTAAGACCGGATTACATATGCTTGGTTGAAGTCCCTTTCTGTCTTAGCTTGGGGAACCGATCAGATGAGGGAACCCCGCGACGGCTTCCTCCTCACAGTGCCGGAAATACTGCGCCAGCCCGCCAAAGTAGAACAGAATCTCCCGCGGCTTGCCGTCGATATTCGCCCCCACGTACCACGAGTAGACCTCCTTGGCGGATTTGGCCATGATGGTCTTGTCGAAGGTCGCGAGCACCGTCTGGCGCCATGCGTCCTCGCTCTCTCTCGTCGCCTCGACGCGCGCGTACCCGCGGTCGCGCATGTGGAGGAGGACCTTGCCGATCCAGTCCGCGGTGTTGTCGATGATGACCGGGAGGTTCGCAAAGGGGGACTGCGGGCCCGAGATCATGAACATGTTGGGGAACCCCTCGACGGCGATGCCCAGGAACGTCCGCACGCCTTCGGCCCATTCGTTGTTCAGGACGCGGTTGTCTTTCCCTCGAATGTCGGCGTGGAGCAGGGCCCCCGTGACGGCATCGAACCCGATAGCATATATGATGATATCGTGCTCGTGCTCTTGGGTACCGGTTCTGATACCCTTGGGGGTAATCTCCTGGATGGGGTCCTCGCTGATGTCCACCAGGTGGACATTCGGCCGGTTGAAGGCCTCGTAGTAGAAGTGCCCCAACGGCGGCCGTTTGGCCATGATGGGATAGGAAGGACAGAGTTTCCGCGCGGTCTCCGGGTCCTTCACGATCGTCCTGATTTTGTTGCGGACGTACTCTGACGCGGCCGCATTGGCTTCGTCGTGGGTTGAAATGTCGTCGAATGTCTCAAAGACGAATCGAAATCCGCCAGACTCCCACCCGCTGTCCAGGATCCGCTGTCGCTCGGCGGGGTCTTTGACCGTGGAGAATGTGCGGCCGTAGGTTTCCATCGGGAACCCAAAGATCTGTTTTCGAGACTTGTCCCAGATGGAGTCGTAGTCTTGCCGGATCTCAGAAAGCTGAGCGGTGGTCAACGGATGGTTGCGCCCGGGCAGTACGTAATTCGGGGTGCGCTGGTACAATGTGACCGACTTTGCGGTGTGGGCAACGATAGGAAGGACTTGCACACCAGTTGCGCCCGCTCCAACGACGGCAACCCGCTTTCCCGAGAAATCGACATCCTTCTTTGGCCAGCTGGACGTCTGATACCATTCACCTTGAAAGCTATGCACGCCGGGGAAGGGCGGGTCGCGACCTTGCGAGAGTACGCCGACAGCAGTGATGAGGAATTGGCTGGTATAAGTTACGCCTCTAGAGGTCTTGGTCGACCAAGTGTTCAATGCCTGGTCATAGTGGGCCGACTCCACCCGCTCGTGGAATCGAATATCTTTGCGCATATTGAAGCGGTCGGCGACGTGGTCGAGGTAGGCTAGAACCTCTTTTTGGCTCGGGTAGCGTTCCGTCCAGGTCCAGTCCGCCTTCAGCTCCTTTGAGAAATTCATGATATACACCCACGCTTCGCTGTCTGTCCGAGCACCAGGATATCGGTTCCAGTACCATGTTCCTCCCACACTGGATCCCGCCTCTATCACCTGTGCCGTAAACCCCAGCTTACGTAGTTCGTACAACATGCGTAAGCCTCCGAATCCAGCCCCAATGACAAGGGCGTCAAAGTGCTCGCTTGAGGAACCATTGCTGGAACCGTGGATGCCGTTGGACAGGTGCCCAGTGTCAATGCCGTTAGTTACAGCCATGTGTGCTTTCACCAACTCCTTGTCGGAAGTGGTCGTGTCTGAAAGGGAAAGAAGCCAGAATTATTAGGACGCAATATAGCAATCTGGAGGGATACAGTTTCTCGCCGAAGTAAACGGATCGCTGGGAGGAGTTAGAACACCGCGGCTTCTCTTTGGAAGAGAAAATCCGGGTATTGAATTCCGTGGAGTTCAAAGCTTGAGAGAAGGCCCGCGGCTCAACGGCGGCTCCTTTATCTCGTTGGCTGAAGCGCAGAACAAGTGAGGACACCTGAGTCTCTTGCTCATCTTTGAATCTGGGGCCACAGCTTCCACCAGACACAGGACGACCTCATCCCAAGCAGAAACTTGTACCGTAGAATCGGGCGAACAACGGGAGAGATTGGCAGAATCCTATGTCGGGATAGGTCCTGCTGGTGATCTGCAACAACTACGGCATGACATTGTGCCAGAATTCTCCTCGTCTCTCTCCTACGTCTCTTGGGGAGAGGTATAGAACCCAGCTGTTCGATTGATAGAAATCTAACTAGTGGAGATGCGCCCGGCAGCCTTCCATATTGGGTTAGTGCAATCGCTCGTAGCCTCCAGGGGCGGGCTATTCGCGTTCCTCGGTCGAACTTGAATCGGAGACACCATCGCCGCAAATCTTCTGTCCATGATGGGACGGCAGGAATGCCTTGGCGCTGTAGTTCAATGAACCTTTTTGCAATCACATAGATTTTGAAAATAGAAATTCTTTCGCCGTATCCCTTTTTCGAAAGCTCGATCCAAACATCACCCGGACCGCTTTCTTCCGACGCCACATTCATTCAGCAGATCCCATCGACAGACGAGGCTGAAGTCTGTCCTGACCCCTTTTGCTTTTGCCCTTTACGTCACTTTCACCGGTCTCTGCAAGCTCAAGCCAGAGTCCCTGCTCCCTCTACATTCCGTCCGCGACTCAGTACTCGCGGTCCTGACAAGCTCAAGTCAAGACCCGGTTGCTCAAGACGCCAGCCACCCAAGCGGCCGTACAAGCGGTTGGAATACTCTTTTGAGTGGGGCAGACCTCATCCGGAAAAGAGGTAGAGGAGCGTGACGTGCGATTCGCCCCGACGACTGCCCGCGCCCAAAGGAGGCGGCACAGTCTGAAGGGCAAGGAGTTCACTCCTGGGACTTATGACGGGGAAACAGACACCGGAGCCAATAGCACAGAGACCATAGATGAGGACGAGACGCGAGGAGGAGGAATGGGAAGAACAGGAGGGAGATCCCATGGATATCGATAGCCGAGGTCGCAATAGGTGGGTGGGGGCCACGAGCGGAACGCGGGCTGGAGGAGGAAGAACACGCGGGGATGGCGTCCTGTGTGGAGTATGTGGAAGATATGGGGGATTAGGAGGCATCATCGCCACGGGAGCATAACCATGTTTGTTTTAGATGATATCAGACTGTAAACCACCAGATCCAACGGCTCGGAAATAATGGTGTTTACGATGGGGCCTTATATGGCTGCTTACTCCACCGATCATGTCCAAACAGTCGCATTCCACTCCTCATACCCAACGCCCGGCTCCATCAACAGACCCGGATCATACACCGGCGTCGCTGGGCTGTCCGCCGTCGAGCCATTCCAGCAGTGCGTGGCAAAGCAAGCCTGGCATGCTGCGGGGATCGTCTCACCAATCCGGAGCAGGGACTTGTAGATGAGGCCGCAGGCGATACAGGCCGGGAATGGTGGCGTTGGTGATAGTGTTGCGTTCTTCCCTCCACTGCGCACACCATCCAGTTTCCCCAGCCCGAAAGTTACCATGTTGAGAGAGTTGTTGAAGACCAGGTCCAGTTGGTTGTCGGTGAAGGACGGGACCGTGTACGAGTAGTTCGAGTATGCCGACCACGGCGCGTTCGGGAGGTAGAGGATCAGCGGCGTGGATGCGGAAGCGTTACAGCCGAAGAATGTCTAGTTCGTGGCAAAAATGGTATGAGTTATCAGATCATAGATTCTGAAGGGAAGATAAAAGCGCCATTTGAAAGGGGATACGGGGACGACAGGGGTGGCAGTTCAGGACACTCACAGGATATCGATTCAAGCCCAGATTGATAAAGGTCGCAGGATCAGGGACTTCTGGGAAGGGTATCCCATTGAGCTTCGATGCAGCTGCGCTCATCCTAAAGGTCGTGCCGTTAACCCAGTTATTGCCCGGGTTCTCCCCGCTGGAGTCAAAGGCGAGGATGAAATCAACGCTTCTTTGCGGCACGACTAGAGACCTTAGAGGGATCGTCTCGCCTGTTTCACTGCCGTCGACCTAGAACATGTCGGATCAGTATGCTCTGCTGCCCGCGGCGACTGCACAATCAACGGCGACGAAGAAACGTACAATCAGGAGCTCAGTCTCTCCTTGCATTTGCTTATTGTAGTTGTTGAAGGGGTTGGGGTATGTGCCCCACATGGATTCGTTGAACGTCTGATTGAACACCGTAGCGGTCTCATTGACCAGCACGACCTGTGGATTCTGGCTTTGGCTTTGAGGAATAGGAATCGAGGGCGTGTCCGCGAGTGTGGACCGCCTCTCGAGGGGAGGTACTCTGTCCCGCTTGTAAAAGAGGGCGATATTGTAGAAGGCGTCAATGAACCAAAAGTTCCAGGCACCGCCCGTGCTGCCCTGCGCAAACGTGACCTTGTCGAAGCCGTTCACGCAATGACTCGAGTTCGCTGGCGTTCCATTGTTCATGGCAGTGCCGAGGAATTTGGTGGGCATAAAGGCTTGCACACGCCCTCCGACCCAGCTGCCGAATTCGAACGGCGTTTGCTCGTACATGGTCAAGTTGCTCGAGTTGACTCCCGGATACATGATTCCGCCCACCTCAGGAGAGGAGCCTGGGACAACCTCGGCAAGGAGGACTATCGGCATCGGTGCAAGTCCCTGGGAGAAGGTCGTGTTGGGGTTGGCGACATCGGAAACGCTCTTATAGCCCCAGGACGCTGGCAGATACTGTCGGTAAAACTGACCGAAGATATCCGTTACAGAAACTGCGAAGCCTGCAAGGCGTTTGAGGTATGCATTCTCGAAAGCTGTCTCGAAATGGGCAGTCTGGTTCCCCGCTGGCCCGACCAAGTAGTTGGCAGTGAGGTTGGCGTTGGCCCGAAGATCCTCAATGGTTCCAAAGTTGTGACTGGCTCTGTCCATCGTCAACGATTAATCTTTGAATGGGAAAGGATGGCGTACAAGGGCAGCACGGTGGTCAATCCACCACCGCTCAACCCGGTCAGGTACGACAGGCATTGCACAAGGCCGCCGGTACCTGCTTTTACGGCAGGAGGATATCGATCATCGAAGGCCTGCCAAAGACCCAGTCCTCCCATGCCAGACTGACTGCCGCCGCCGGATACCGCCATGCCAACCACTGGCGCCGTTGATGCGTTGATCTTGCTAAGGTATGCTTTGGGCTGGAAGTTTGGGATGTTCGCGTTGATTAGGTACGAAGACAAGGCCTTGACCACATGGCCGAGACGCCGTTCTCTCCATTGCTGCTCCTGAGAGCTAAGACCGTTGTGAGCTGGCCGTACGCGAAGAGATTTTGGGCATTTCACGAAGGTGGGAGCATATGGGGAGGTAGTATTCTGGGTCACCACCACCGTCGAGAAGCACAGAAGCAAAAGAGAGAGAAATAACATCTTGCACAGATCGCTTCTGCAATGTGAGGGAGACGTGAGAGCTGGTTGAGGAGGATATCAGTACAATCCAAGGGGAAGGAACTCAATTATATCGCAAAGACCATGGCAATAAATGCGGTGTCTGAAGCACCGTGAAGCTTGCACAGCTCGAGCTGCACAGCACAGCCATCGTAAAGGCGTCCAGACGGTAACGAAAGGTACACTTTGATTCGCCTGAGCCAAATCGAAGGACGTATAGCAATCGACAGACGTCGCAAGCGAGTTCCAATCCAGGACACGATGGCTTACTGGCTTATCCTCGAGGAGTAACGATGCGAGCGATGCCCTGCAGCGGCAAAAATGATGCCATTGGGTGCTCCGGAAACGTTCAGTCTTGGGTTCAGCTCAGCTCTCGGTTCTGCATCTGGAAAGTTTTGTAGAGCGAGGTGGCGAGACCCCGCGCGTCTTGCTGAATGGAGGAATCGCAGCGATGTTTGTCAAGTCTAGCCTAGACCTTCTCTTGCGACGACGACGAACGGACGGGGAACTAAAGGTCGTTGGCTCAATGCCTCGGAGGAGTTAGGAGGTGTGCTCTCTTCGTCTTTCTCTGTCATGAGCGAAGGTGTGTAATGTCGTAAGGTCGTGCTTGGAGGAACTGCAGGTTGGAGGATGAGAGTCTTGGAAGTCGAGGAGGAAATGAGATCGCGGTGTCGGACAAGAGCAAGACCTCGGGTTCCAATGCAATGCACAACGTGGCTGTGAGCACTCCCTCTACCCTTCGGATATTTCTGGGGACCATCAGCGTTCTGGGCCGAGCTACTTCGACCCATAGAACCTCGCCTCATATACTTGTCTCAACAGAGGGCAATCTGTATTGTAGTCTTACATTCGTGAAACTTCAGAGAGCATCTATATGTACAAATGAGCTTCCTTTAGCCAAAGCCAGGTTGAAAGGTACGGGACCACACGGACCAGGCAGGGCCACGGGCGCAGGCTGCTGGTCATTCCCGTCTCTGCTGAAAGAGAGGGCAGACACAGAGTCCCCGGCGCGCCTGTTGACCTGATGCGGCTTGCCGCCTCAACAGCCGCCTTCTTGCGCGCCAACTGCAGCCAGCTGACGGGTTTGCAAACCCCAAGGAATCAGACACCATCCCCGGCGGAGTGTCGCTGTAGAGCAGATGAAAGACCTTGCAACGATTGACCGGTCCCTCTCTGCTCGCCATGGTCTTCAGAGCATCTTCAAAGAAAATTTGTGTCCTGCTCACCTCGATTGAGGCGGTGGGTTGAAGATCATCGTCGCGGGCGCCACATAGCCTTCTTTCTTTGCGCCAGACCCAGCCGGTTTCCTGACTTGCTCTTCTCGAAATTTGACCTCCTTTTCATCCTGAGCGACAACACAGCAGCAGCAGCAAATCCCCTTGACACAATCCCCCGCGACATTTCCGGCCTCCGTGCTCATGGTGTAGGTCTTCCGCACCCGCGTATGCTGAATTGCAGCCAAGATCCCATTCACACCACATAGAAGGCCAAATGCGATGCAAGACCCGTTGACTGCCGTGTATCCCAGCATATTCGTCGGATCTTTCCTTTCACCTCTCAACCCTAACCGATACTGTGTCTTCCCATACACAATGCACGGGCAAAACAGCCCGGTGATGCAGATAGAAGGTTCGGCGCAAGAACAAAAACTATGCTGCCACGAGCCGCCTTTTATGGATTGTGGACTCGGAGTGAATACGTGGGCGGGGAATTGAGAGGGATCGGATGGAGGTGGAACGATGGCCATGTTGGTGCTGGCACGGTCGAGTGGTTTCGGGGTAGATGGCACCAAAGGGTTCGTATCTGGCACAATAGGCCCCGTGGGTTCGTTTTCGGGAATGGTCAGTTGCTTTGCAGGCTCGGGAGTTTGTGGTAAAGGAGGCATGACATGCTGTGGAGGTTGCGTTTGAGGAGGTTGTTGTACAAGTACCTGGGTGGGATATGGTTGTGAGGTGTAAGCGCCTTGTTGTTGAGCGGCTTGCATGTACTCCTGTTGTGCGACCGCTGGGTATCGCATTTGCTGCGGAACCACACCACCGCCGTAGAACTGTGGTTCCATAGTTGACACGGGAATCTGTCCCGGCGGAGAGAGCTGTTGTGCAGCAGCAGGCTGCGGCAGCGCAGGTGGTGTTGGAGTGTTTGCCTCTTTTCTTGCTCCCACACGACTTTCCTCGTCTGCGGACGTGGTCATCCACGAAAACCGGCTGTCGGCGTGCTGTGGAGGTGGCAGCAAAGAGGTGGGAGGACGGACTCGCGGGTACTCGTAGTTTTTCATCTCGCCAGGAAGTCGGGCAGTCCGCTGCCCGTGTTGTAGCACACCACCGTCGGACTCGTTTCAACGCGTACAGCGGTCAGCAATGACGTGGGAGGGGCGGCCTTACTGTTGTGTCTAAGCAATCGACCGCTCTATTGTTGTATACATGGAAACACAGAAAGCCCAAGACGATGAGGGTGAGGAGGGAGATAAAGGGAAAATACAATCACCGTAGGGATCTGCGCATCGCCTCCCTCAGCGCCGGCGAGGGCGAGCCTGAGATCCAGGAGCCCTGTGCCTCAGCTACCAGTCATCATCACTCGTGCTTGGGTCGATTGTCGTCGACGATTGGACTGCGAGGAGCGAGGCTTGACACTCGGCTAAATCGGGGCGCTTATGGGGAACACAAAAATAGGAGGAGAAGACCACCCTCGGTGCTGCCAGGCGCGAATTGCGCCAAAGTGTGGGAGCTGGATGAAACAGGCGACAGGGAGCTCGTTGCCGCCAGCCAGAAGATGCGTTGAAGCGCCGAGGAGGAGCTTGGGCGATGGAAACATTGATTGTGAGCGCAGTTTGTTGCCCGTCACACTTCCCGACGTTTTTCTCCGAGTGTCTGCGGCCACCTGCGACCGTGACTCGATCTCGTCGTCCCATCAGCCCATCTGCAGCACCCAGCTCCTCTACGTAACAGACTGACACATACCACTGCCTTTCCCTCTACTTGCACCTCCGCGTGTATGTCAGAACACCGTCGGCTCTTCGGTTCCTACGCCTCCGACCCTCCAAACTCTAATGGCGCAGGCAAGGCTGCATGACTGCATGAACGGAGAAAAGGCCCCCTCGCCCTTGGCTCACTGTATACCACTTTCGACTTCACAAACTCTGCTCGTGAGAGGAGCAGGTTTCTAGTCTGCTTGACATATCATACATTCAACAGCGCCATGCCCGCGCCTTCCATGAAGACAGCGTGTTCCGTGGCACCAGAACCTCTGCCAGCAATAGAGCGCAGAAGTTGCACCTCCTTTACCGCTCTAGACAAGTACGTTGGGCTTCTAGAAACGCGCAGGGCAACGTCTCTAGCTATCGACCTGGCATTGCATCCTTCAAACACTTGACCCTGGTCGCCACAAGTCTGAACTCCCGGGTCGTAGGTTCACGGTAGGCAGTTCGGCCATATGCAGCTTCGCACTGCCATACGGGCGCAGTTCGACCGGAAAGGCCCTTCCGGTGCAATTCCGCTGACCGGCCAATGGTGGGTTTGGTGCATATCCATCTTGCAGCTCCCAGTCTATTTGGCAAGCCAGTGCTGAGACGCTGACGGGCGGCCGCTCTTCGTGCCAGATCGGGTGGGGGAGCCACGCATCATACCGATTGGGATATTCATAGAATTTCAGAGTTGTTGCGTCGATGGCCAAATTCCAATAGTCTCTCGGGAGGATCGACCAGTCATTTGCCTCGGGAGGAGCCTCCACTCCTGGATAGTTTGCTGGACGCGAGGTGCTGTAGTCTCCAGCGATGGGCAGAGCATACAGCAGAGCACCATAGTAGACGGAGACGGTATCGTTAGCTCTCGACTCGACTCGAAGCTTCGTGCTGAATGAGACTTCAACACGAGTCCTACCGGCTGGAATAATCATCGTATGCAGCCCTGTCGTGTTGTCTGGCGCAAGGTCGTGTCTTTTCCCACGGTCCACCATGACAATGCTCGCATCTGGTATCGCCCAGGAAGGAACCCTGAAGGAGAATCGAAAAGCCGATCTCGCCTTGATCTCGTAGCTGAGGTAGTTGCTGAACGGATAGTTCGTGTCGCATCGAATTCGTATGTGGTTTCGTTTCTTCAACGTGGTGCTAACTTGAGCCGGGCCTAGCAAAGCATGGACCAATCCAACTTCGCCGTCTTTCACAAACATGGCTGAAACAAATTTGGAATATCCCTGCATGTTGACGGTGCAGCACGGGAAGTTTGGCTCCGTCCCAAAGGTTTGGCCCAAAGGTCCAACATTCCAGAAAGGGGGATTGTCAAGGCGATGACTGATGGGCTGGTTTGTCTGTGCAACGTATTGATGAGCCCACCAGTGGGGCATCAGCATGACAGGTAAAGCATTGTAGGCGGCCAACTCTGACCTGTCGGCGAAATCGCCGTCGCCCACGGCTTGATATAAGTAGTTCAAGGAGAAGATCGATTCCACCACACTGCAAAGCTCCGTGCCTCGAACCGGACTCAGCCCTGCCTCACGTTCATCCCCAATGATCGCACCAGATGGGGTTCCGTGATAGAGAAAAGTCCAGTTGACCCCGTTTCTGGTGGCATTGAGTAGCACATCATCCTGGACGAGTCTTCTCATCACGCCACCCCATTTCAAACCTTGACCGGCGTTGACGCCATGGACATAGGGGAACAGGCTCTTGGTGAGATCTTCCGGGTATGTGTCCAGGTCGCCCTTCAAGAAATGATCTTCGTGGAACCAATATGACCAGTCGTAGGCCATCTCGTACATCTGGACCATGCAGTAATGGATGGCCTTTTCATTGTCCATGGGATATTTCTCGTAAAGCCATTGGAGGGCAAGGACCATGTCTGCCGCACGGGATCGGCCCCATTGTTCGTCGAACAGATCCCCGGGTTTCCAGACATAGCCCTGATGGTGATCTCGAAGCATGGAATACATGAGCCGGACGAAGCGATGCATTGCCGGTAATATCATGGCCTCGCCCAGCTCGGGCTCGGCCTCGACAAGCTGCATGAAGCCCAAGAAGAGAGGATATCTGGCCCAGAAATTGCGACGTGACAGCTCTTCTTCCGGACCCAGCCATCCATCTGCGTGCTGATGCTCAATGACCCAATCTGTCACCCGGAGAACATGATGTTTCAATCGTGCATTGTCGGTCGTCCACGCCAGTGGGATAAGCGCATTATATGAGTAGGGCCATGCCTCATTCAACCCTAACAAGCAATCAGTAGAGCTAAGAAGGGTGTGTGGATTTCGCTCATACATGAATATTCGTGGTCGCCTCCGAGCCAGGGAGCATCTTTGACAGGGCGATAAAATTCATGCAAATGGCCTGGAAGACCGTTGGCCATGAGGTCCATCTGTTGACCAAGCCATCCTACCGGCCTGATAGAACCAAGAGCAAGAGGCTCAAACCTCAATGGCAATACTGAACATATCAGTGGACCCATCTTCCCTCGGAACATGTGACCATCCTACATGTGGTATTATACGTATCAAATTGGTCGGTGGACCTTCGCGGATTGTCTCTCGGGACGCGGACATTCCATGTAGACGACTCGACGACGGTGTCTGGGCTGTTCCGCGGTCCTGTCTGATGAAAGGCTGCGTCTCGGGTGAGGATCTGCACCATTCCCAATGAGAAGGGGATGTGCTCCGTACCTGCATGATTGTTCGCAGGCTGCTTGAGGAGCAGATCTGGCCGCCCTAGGGCCTCAACACCAGCCAATCGCCGCAGCAGCAGCAAATGCAAAAACACAAAGATTAAATGTGAAAGACATAAATGCAACATTGTCTAGACGAGCCTGTGCCCGCACAGGCCAAATGCTGAGAGAGAGAGAGAGAGAGAGACAGGAGATGGACGGGGATCTTGGAGGGACATTTTTCCTGTGTCAGAAATTGCGTGCTTCGACATGCCGATTGGATCTTCACCTTCGTGCCACACACGACGATCACGCGCCACCACCGACTTCCGCACAGCCCACGACTCGGCCATCAGCCAGCAATATCATCCTGAAAAGAGGAGAAAAGAGGCGGGATAGAGGGATCGGCAACGATGAGGGTGTCGCGGTTGTCCGGGCTTCTCCCAGTCCCAGTCAACGACATGTCCCTGTCTCGAGCACGCCTCGTGTTCGCATGCACGATCCGAATGGAGTCGCATTGGTTGATCAGCCACTGACGTAGCAGATCCAGCCCCAGTTCAGCTTCCTCCCCCATCCGTGCTTCTCCTGTCCGACAGTTGCGGAGACAAGGTCCGTGTACTCCTGGCGAGAACATCAAGGTTTACCGAGTCCGAGAAGACTGAAGTGACGAATCCTACACACATATCATATATGGGGATGTCAGATGTGAGATGGGACATACCAATACCAGGAACTTCAGGTCTTAAGACGGTAGCAAAGCAATGGACAGTGTCAAGAACTGATATTGTAGGGGCGCGTCTTGAGAATGACCTCCCTCACAGGCCAACAGTATTCGAACAACTATAGATTATCCAGCTTCTTCTGGACAGTCACCCAGCCAGCAACTTGCAACGATGAAGCTATATCTAGGCTCTCTTCCACAACACCAACCTTGTACAATAGCTTTTCCTTTCACGGCTGTGCTGTTTACCACTACCTAATTCCAAGTGATTGTCCCCTCCATCGATTAACCTGTAGGACTCTCACATCTCCAGGCACTCAGGTTCACAGAGCTCTTATATGCATCCACCATCGATGTAAATGCGGCATACAAACCGAGAATCATTGTCACAATGCTACCCAGGTAGAAGATGAGATCGAAAAGATTCCACCAGAGCTCCTTCTTGAAACCTCTCCACCATCTCTTGACACCACTGTCCTCATGCCGAACGGTGCCAGTGGCTGGGTCATATGTCTCGCCAGGAAGCATGGCATCGCGCTGGCACTTGAATCCCAGCATCAAGAATGGCGGGAATGTGTATGTGAATTGCAAGATGCACCCTGCGCCGACGAGGACGATCCATGTGTTGATTTGAGGGACGGATTGAGTGACGACCCAAGCGAGGGACCAGTAGATGGGGACGAAGACAACCCAGATCCATTTGCCTGTCTTGGATTCCAACAATGGGAAGTTGAGCAGATCACGACCCAAGTTGTTGTAGAGAACTTTGATGCCAATGTTACCGTAGAGAACAGCGGCAATGAGACCAGTGATGAGACCGATGATATTGCATGCTGTTTGCCAACCATACGGCGAGACGCCCTGGTACGATACATTGTAGGCGTACTGCCCTTGCATGCAATAGGTGTAGATTCCGTAGACCATGTAGCAAGCATAGATGAGGAGATCCGCGCAAAGAAGACCTTTCCAGAAATCCATGGGGCGACGCATCTCGGCCATGAGTTCGACAAACAGAGTGGCACCGCCAAAGGAGAAGACGGCATTCATCAGACCGTTGACGTTGTCGACGATGTCGAGGCCGGGCGGAGCGGAGCCGGAAACTTGGATCGGTGCCGGGTTATTAATATCGAAGTCAGGATTCGCAGCGGCATAGAGCTTGTAGTTCGGAGGTGAATGAGCCATGACGCCCATACTAGGGGTCGTTAGTTACGAATCGATTTCACCAAAGTCCAGGCAGGGAAACTCACGTTGCGAAAATGATGAACAAGTTGAGGAACACAGCCCAAGACGCCAGCCAACCGAACCGTTGAAGGGTTCGAATCTGCCCAATGATACAGCCCGCAATCATACAGACCACCACACAGACGATGAAGCACAATTGGCCCTTGGAAAGCTGACTGATGGACTGTCCGCTGCTCAGGATGATGAGGGCGACGTTAAGGAAGAATTGGAACGACTGCAGAAGGTTGCAAGTATGGCGGAACCAGGAACCGTACACACGGAAAGCGATGTCGCCATATCCTTTCATCGGATAGCGATCGCTGTCCAGCTGAAGGTACATGCGCCAGAGCTGGTACCCACTGTAACCAGCGAGGGCGCCGAAGACAGTGAAGAGCGTAACACCGGGGCCAAGGCCCATTTGTGAGAAGGCATATCCCGTACTGAAGGGACCGAGAATGTCAGTAGTAATGAGGTAGAAGACAGCGCCCCTATATGTGCGGTTAGCGGTGAAAGTATCAACGTCAGTTGGGTTGGGCGATACCAAGTAGCTGTTCTGGCGGCGCGCGAGGCCTGAACCCATTCCTCATCAGAGATGGTCATGGGTTCATACTTCTTGTTCTCCACGGCCGACTTTTCGTTGCCAGAATCCGACTCGTGCCTTATGATTTGTCCCTCTCCTTGAGCGCTGATCGACAGCCGGGGCTGAGGAACAGACTCGCGACGGTGCTCGACTCGCTTGCGAAGAATTTTCTCTTTGATGAAGGTCATTGTAGGTCCAGAGCCTTGGGTGAAGTTGCTTCCAGGGCCGTACAATCGGTCTTCCTCCTGACGAGTCATCTTCGCATAGTGAAGATACTCCTCAAAGGGGATACTGGGGTCGTGGAGCTTTTCCGAGACCCTGGTAGGGAAAGTGATCGAGTCAAGGCCACCGGGATGGAGACGCTTGTCATCCACAGCCCCAGGGCCAGAGATAGATCCGATTCCAGATGCCATGCTCCCTCAACTGCGAAGAAACAGCTCAATTCTGATAGTGCTACAGAGGGGAAACAACAGATGGAGGAGAAGAGGAGACTTGAGAAGGGGAGGTGCCACTGGGGTCTATCTTATAGGAGATGGGCCTGGTGTCGTTCGCTAGGAGGCAGAGACATGGGTAGCAAGGTCGTACTGTTAGCTCATAGCGCAAACGCTGAAATCGTATAGTTACCGAGTATCGAATCCATCCTCGTCGACCCTCTGAATGATCAGAGGTGGGCGTGACGCCATGAAACGCCGTGATCCTCACCTTGTCCAGCGGCCCGCGACCGACAGCTGATAGGGCAACCTCGATTAATTGGTGTTTTCTAGAACGAACCCTTGCATAGATCGAGGGCAGAAGTCCCCATTCAGATAGCGCTTGAGAGGGGAGGCAATATGAAATCTGAGATTGCGACGTCAACACACGATCGCCGTTGGCTGGTTCCAATGGGTAGCATTGCCCTAGGGAAGACAGGGTCAGGAGGCGATTGCATCTTGACCTCACAAAATAGCAAGAGTTCCTATGGGTTGGGCGGCACACATACGAGGGTTGGCTGTCAATCATGGGTTATGAAATCATGCGACAGCACAACACCCCGAGGTGATGGAGGTGGGCGTAACGCAATCAGGCAGGTAAAATTGATGTCGGCGGAGGCGGGCGAATCTCTGTGAGAGGAAAGGATCCTCACCGAAGGTTAATAGGACTGCCCCCCTGCAAACGAAACCCCAGTCGCCGCTCGCATGTCTCGCCCACACTGGGGCGGACTGATAAAGTGGTCTCTCTGGGTTGTTCAGGACTCGCGAGAAGGGCTCCGTAGCCCGTCAGCAGTAGTTGGCTGAAGCCATGACTGCAGCTATCCCTTCCCTTCTCATCGTAGGTATCGAGTATAGATTGGTTACAGCTGATCTGGTCGGGCGGCCAGCCGGCCAGTTCCATTGGTGATTGATCTTGCCCATTTCGTCTGCTAATCTTGCCCGCTCTTCGAGATTGTTCGATCATGGGCACACTCGATCAATCGTGCCCTCTTCCGTAACGCCACTGGGGATTCCCCGGCATTTTCTTGGTGCCCCCAACCGTCCATTCCGAATGCAACTTCAGTGCCTTAGGGCGCGAGAAGCAAATGCTAAGCTTCGCCTTAAAGCTTGTGCGTGTAAGCCTTTTGACGCGCTGGATCAACCGGGAGTGTTACGGATCGCCACATATCGCTACAGTTGAGTTTGGTGGTCGCGGGGGAATATTCAAGAGTGGTAAAGCCTGGCTGGATAGTCGACTCTGCCTCTCCACTCCTGGCCACTCACGGCAACGAGTCTCGTGTGGCTCCTTTCTTTTGCTTCTCCGGTTGTTCTAGACTTGACGGGAGGTACGCGGGAGGTACGCGATTCACAGGCTGTTGACCAGGTTTCATTGCGAATATCTGCATCCACTCCTGCAAGGTGTTGGATTGGAACTGCTCATTGATATGGGTGCATGCATGCCCGGTTATCAGAGGCTATTTCGCCTATTCAAAATATGCTTTTGCAGGTCGAGAGGAAGATACGAGGAGGACAGCTGTAATCAGGAGAGCTATTGACTTCGGGGACTGATTTGAGCCCAAACACCGGAGGCCCCCGTTGAACCTGCCAACGTTGCATTTTCAGGAAGGTGTCATTGAGCGCGAATTGGCTATCATGATCTCGCTAAATGTGGAATCGTGGCCCGTGATAATATGGAGTACCGAGTACACGATACAGAGTGGAAGCCCCCCTCGCGGTGGGCTTTATCGGCTGTCGAATGAGTTCGGGAGGAGCCGAGTCGACCAAGAACGGACATGTGCCTGGTTTTCCTCTGTTGGAGCTTGGGGGCCCCGCGAGCTTGTGGATGTGAGCGGTCCGAAGGTGACAATGCTACCGTGCTGGCACCACCCGGCACTTTGCCGCGGTGGTTGGGAAGGCGAGGTAGTAGAGGTTCTTTCGGCAAGACGGCTCAAGTTTTTGTTCGGGTACGGGAGACACCAGGGGACAAGATGACAATAATAAAGGCATGGTACGTAAAGAAGACAAAAGATTGGGAACGGGGCGAAGGATTGAGCATGGGACGGGGTATGTGAGGCCCCCAGAGCGTGCCTTGGGACTTCAGGCAGTTTACGTAGCGGAAGGATGGCGGGAGGATGGCATCTTTACGAGGTACTCGGAGAGCCGTGCCCGTCGATGTTCTTTGGTCAAGATGCGGGCGATCGCTTGGCAACCACGAAGCTGCACCTTGCCGCCCCCAAACTGCGCAAATCATCTGGAAGCTTTCGCTCACAGTGCCTCCCACCCGTAACCCTCAGCTCACCTCCGTCGTTGCGTGAGCTCAACAGTGATCACGCCATTGGTGTGAATCTCCATGCAAACAATGTCGCTCTCTAGGTGACAAAAGTCCCTTCCAACCTCAGGCGAAAAATGTCGATGCTGAGGCGCGTTTTCGCCCGTGCGCCAGCTAGCACACAGCGACCGTTTATGGCTAAAGTGATCACAATCGGAATCACATGTGTTGCAGCATATTCATCATGGGCCTTGGTGGCACATCATTGGATCACATGCGCTGTATGTTGGTGGACTCCCTCCCTCCGAGAATCTCTTCACATTTGCCCGAGTCTTCGCTGAGTTGCATATGGCCAAAAGCCCTCTCAAGGTCCTTCCATGTACCCGTCCATGCCAAGCAGCCTCTCATACAACATCTATTCTCGAAGGCACAAGCGAGGAAAGGATATTAAAGTGGGAGACGTTATAGTCTTTGAGAGCCCTATCTTCCTTCGCGGCGTAGCCTGCAAGCGTGTTATTGGCATGCCCGGGGACTACGTCCTTCGCGACCCTCCTCTATCTCCCACGGTGGGCGGAGCTCCCATCCCGGGTTTATATGGAGGCGATGCGGTACGCGAGGAGCCTGTCATGATACAAGTTCCAGAGGGCCACGTGTGGGTAGCCGGAGACAATCTGTCCTACAGCAGAGATTCTCGATTTTATGGCCCGGTGCCCATGGCTTTGATTACGGGCAAGACTCTATATGTTGGCGACGGATATTTCAATTGGACATCTTTCCGCAAACCGCAATTACAACCAGTTGCCGTTTATGGCGATAGATCGCATGCACACGTGGAAGGAGAGGTCACCTTGGAAGACACCCACCCGACTTGAGGATGCTAGACATGAGCAAAAGAAGCCAGACAATTGCCAAGAGGTCCAAAAGACACGCGAGGCTCTATGAGAGTCGGCAAAATCAGTGTTGATATTGTACAGCAGGTGCTTATGAGAGCAGAGCTCAGCTATTTCATCCCCTCATCCTGGACGTGTCGCGCCTTTGATACGGCAGAGGTTCAACCTTCTTCCTCTTGAGCTCGACATCCGCACCCTCAATACCAGCTCTCTGCATAACGGCAGCCGTGCTATCGTCCCACTGTGTCCGGAACAACGAAGCACTGATGGGACTGAGCATATGACGACTCATCACGCTGCGGACTGTAAATCCATCCCGCTGAATCTTTTTCTTGGCGACCTCAAGATCAATCGGGATGTTGTCTTTTTGTTGTAATATGATGATGGACAATCGATGATATGGGCTGCCCTTGTGCGCGTAAGGGGGCAACCATGGTAGAAGGATCTGGGAAGCTGGGGACAGAGTCGCGAGATCTACCGATGGCTGCGTTGGTGAGATGGTGATGTTGCATGCCAGATAGTGGCATCGAGAGTCAAAGGAGTCTGTCGCTATATTTGGCACGTCGGGGTCAACAACGGCAATGGTCACCATCTTCTCGCCTCTCTCATAGGATTGTAAAGTAAGACGGCAGGGGGCTTCGCTGATGTGTGACTCCACAAACTCGCCCGGTTGTACAATTCTGTTGCCAAACACAATCTTGACATCCAGAGCAGGATCCACGTTAGGAATGACATCTGGCACCACATTCATCTGTTCGATCCGTTGAACGAGGACTTTCCGTGGGTATTCTCGCCATTTTCGCTCGGCCAGGTGCCTATAGATGGGTTTGCTCAGGTCACCTGGTATTGTTAGCAAGTGAAGGACAACTCTCGGCATGCACGCGCACCTTTTCCATCCTCAAACCTCCTCTTGACATTAGGATCATTGATATCAGCCAAAATCTTGAGCCTTTCCAGCTCCGCAAGCATGCTGTTCAATCTCCGCTGTTTGTATAGTTCTCCTCCCGGGAATGTGCTCGGGTCGACATCCCGGAGACGAGCAATGCGAGCTCTCTCAGTTTCTATCTTTTTGAGCTTCTCTGCTCGGTCGGCAATCAGGATTTGGCGGGCTTCTTGGAAGCATTGGTAGGGCAATTCATCAAAGGGAATGCCAGGAGATTGCGCGAGGGCTGCGCGTCGTCTTCGAGACCCGACTGGAAACTGGCCGGCCCTCAAAAGCTTCCGCTCAAGTCGGGGAACGTAGACGGTCGATGGGTCAGGGTGGTGATAATAGGAAGGCTTTTGGACTTCGGTTTCTTGACGAGTCGAGCTTGTGGTTGCGAAAGTTCGGAGAGCAGCTCTGGATGATGGCACCTCAATCGCTAACGATCTCAGCGAATGCAATAGCAGCGCACTGGGAGCCCTGGAAGGTGCCATGTTCAACGAGTTGGGCACGAAAGCTGCGCTGATCGCAGATTGCTGATCGTGGGAAGCAACAACAACGGGCTTCTCGATTGATTCCGAAAATTGTTCAGAAGGTGGTTCGGAGGAGCATATACCCGAGGCTGCGCAGATCAATGTCACGTGAATATCAAACTCCAACCCAGCTGGGCTGCCACGCTACCCCCTGCGCCTCTCTCCATATCAACCGAAACAAGGCGCCCGATTTCTCTCCTCGCTTTGTTTCCGGACTCAAGCATCGCCGATTTGCCAGCCCCGTCGATCGTATCACTAAGCAGTCTGCTAAGCATTGCCAGCCGCCAATTCCGCCAATGCAGAGCTTGAGTGAAGCACGATCCGTCTATCAAGATCGTTCTGGGTAAAAGCCCTTCGACGCCCCGGCTCATCTTCCGTGCCATCGAAGCACAGGTTTTCAGTCGTCGCTTGACCTGGTGGAGCGTGTGTTATCTCCAGCAGGCGCATGTGTTCTGCTGCCGGTTTGGCCTTGTTGAGCAAAGCCACGTCTTTTTTGGGGGTTATATATCCATTTCACAGCCAACCTCAGGCCCGAGTCCCCCTTAACCTTGAATTGGCAAGCGCCACAGGCATATACCACTGGGTCTCGCTGAGTCATAGCAAACCTCCATTTCACCTTGCTGAGAACGGCCCTCGGTGGTCGGAATCCCATATGTAAACGTTGACTACTGGGTACTTTGTCCCCTGTCCGCGTTTGGCCCTGTATTCTCCTCTTTTCGTCTTCGGAACAGCAGCAGCAATGTCGGAAGTTGACAACAGACACTCAGACACGACGGCCCCCGAGGAAGACAGCAAGGCTGCCACAGACATGGCTCGTGATGTCGGCGCTGGCGTCGAAGCCGCGCAGCCCAAACCCGGTCTCTTCAAGAAAATACGGACAAAATTGAATCTTGATGTTCCCACGCTTCTACTGATGCTCAAGTAAGCTATCTCTCATCGTCGCCCCTTCACAGCTAAACAATGACAGGGGAGGGTTACCTCCAGCGATTGCCCTCGCAGCGTAAGTCTCAGAACCTCTTTCTAGGTAGTAGTCGCTCATATTCCCAGTTATCAGAGTGATGCTTGGGCCAAACAATACTCGACCTTGGGATATCTGATTGCAATCACGTCTTTTTTGTCTCTTCCAATTCTTCCGCGGGCAAAATTTGTCCAGTCCATGATAATATCCATCATCACGGTCTGCTTTGCTGCCGCCGTTTCCCTGCTATCGATACAATGCGCCGTTGCAGCGCGTCAACACGGAGCCCAAAGACCCAACTCTACGACCACTGGCTCCTCTGGTAGTAAACAGAGTCTGCAATACAGTTCAGCAGCTAATGTCACAGCCTGTGTCTGGCTGTTCTTCTGGCTATGGGTCGCGAATACGATGCGGGCAGCGCGTCCCCAGCTCTTCATTGTATCCATTCAATTCTCCATTTTCGTGGTTGTCGCTTCCACCTACACTCCGACGTTCCCGAATATGACAGCTGGTATAAGTTTTGTGAAACGGCTGCTGAAGGTGTTTCTGACCGGATATGCTTTGGCTACTGCTGTTTCACTTTTCGTCATTCCGTTTTCCTCGAGGCTGATCGCCAAAAAACAAATTGCCGGCGTTCTCAATTTGATGAAAGCCTCCCTTTCCATCCATACCGCGTATCTGCACGGTATTACTACTTCTCAAACCGGCAGCCCTGGGCTTCTGGACGAGAATGGCAACCCCTTGCCGCTCCATGAGAATCCTGAGGCGCGAGTGTCGATGAAGGCTGCCGAAGAAGCCGCTCAGAACTTGAAAGTAACCATCCAAAAAGCCACTCAGTTGTTCGGCCAGTTGAAGCTCGAAATCGGCTTTGCTAAGAAAGAGATCGGATGGGGCAAACTGCAACCGGAAGACTTCGGTCGGATTTGGGAACGATTGCAGAACATCCTCCTTCCTGTCGCAGGGTTGTCAACCTTTGTAGACATCCTTCAATCCGTGAAACGCCACAAAGCTGAGGGGGAAAACCTGATTTCGGATTTGGATGCTATCGAAGCTATCAGACGACTCGAGGCCGAAGAATGGCATGAAGTTGTCGTCATGTCACGCATTCCATTCTGGAAAATGAAGACGACCCTGGTGGACGGTCTGACCCATGTTGCCTATGTGCTGGAACTCACACCTCGGCCAAAGACTCCCAAGAAAGATATCGAGACAACTGCACAGGCATCTCCAGTCCCTGGAGATCCTGCCTTCGCCCAACACTTGAAGGAGCAAATGGCGATTTTCCAAAAGCACCGGCAAGAGACCATGCGAAAATGGTGCGAGAAAAAGGGTATAGAAGTACCCTCGAAATTTTGGGAAGATACATCCTCTCAATACAACTTCGAACAGGCGAGCTCTATCCAGGAGGCGGTTCGACAGAAACAGAACCACCAACAGCTGTATCTGATCCTCTATCTCGAGTATCTCCTGTTCGCGATTTGCCACGCTGTGCTGGATTTCGTCCTCTTCGCAGATTCGAAGGTGCAAGACGGCAGCATGAGAAAGAACAAGCTGATCTTCCCTGGATGGAGACGGATTCGCAAGTTGCTGCAGAATGCGTTCAAGCAGATGGACGCTAGCGAAGGGCTTCAGGATGGACCGGCATCGGGCATCTATATATGGGTAGGAGACTCTCTCCAAAAACACAAGGACCCAGAACATCTACCGCCAACGAACCTGTACCAGCGGGTGACGAATCACCTAAGGTCTATCCCAAAGTTCCTGGCCTCTGATGCTTCGCATTTTGGCTTCAGGGCCGCAACTGCGAGTATCAGCCTGGCAATCATCGGCTACATGCGCCAAACCCATTCATTTTACCTGGCTCAACGTGGAATCTGGGCCGTCATCATGGTCGCTATCAGCATGGGTGCGCACGCTGGAGCGGGCGTTCAAGGATTCATTCTCCGTATCCTGGGCACTGCCATTTCGATGGTCATTTCGATTACGGTGTGGTATATGGGCGACCAGAAACCCGCAGCCATCATTCCGCTGACCTATCTGGTCTTCGTGTGCGGCGTTTATGTGATACTCAAACACCCGAAACAGCTGATCACAGCCGTCATCTCAATTGTCACCACCATTTTAATCATCGGCTACGAGCTTCAAGATAAGAAGGTCGGCACGAAGGTGCTCAGCAGTAACGGACAGCAATTCTACCATGTTTACCTCCTCGCTCCATATCGTCTGGTCAGCGTCGTGGCAGGCCTCGCTGTCGCGTTTTTCTGGACCTACTTCCCATACCCGATCACCACGCACGCAACCCTCCGCAAAGACCTCGGCGCAACTCTGTACCTGATGGCCAACTACTACTCGTGCATGCATTCCACCGTCGAAATCCGCCTTCGCACAAGCCCCGGCCTCGCGATCGACAAGAAAAACGACCCCTTGCGCAGGCTGGGAAAGGCGCGCCGCAAGGTGTTTGACAAGCTGATCGTCATGTTGAACCGGCTGCGCGAACACAGCCAGTTCCTCAAGTACGAACCGACGTTCGGCGGGAAATTCCCCAAGGAGACCTACGACGAATTGATCGTGCACATGCAGTCGCTCTTCAACTACATGGCGCTAACGGCGTACTCGAGCAACGCCTTCTCATGCGAGGGCGAGGAGTCGGAGTGGCTGAGGGACTTCAAGCGCATCACGGCCAAGTCGCGCATCACCTCGCACGCGCTCACCTCGACCCTGTGCCTGGTCTCGGCCAGCATCACAAACTCGCAGCCCCTGCCGCCGTACATCACCGTGGCGCGCCCGATCGACATTGCCGACCAGCTCGCCGCCATCGACCCGGGCATCCTCAGCATCCAACACATCAACGAGCCGTGCTACGCGGCCTTTGCCGTCCTGGAGATCGCGAGCATCCTCATCATGCAGGAGATGGTCGCCGTGCTCGCAAAGGTCCGCGAGCTGGTCGGCGAGGTCGACTTCTCGGTGCATTTCGGCGCCCCCGGCTCCTCCATGGCCCAGAGCGACTCGACGCTGGACGAGAAGGACTTGGCCAATGGTGACGATTCCGGGAGGAAGGGCAAGGTGGATTAATTCCGATTCGAGCTTGTGCTGGGGGTTCGGTACATGTATGGAGAAGTGATGCCTCATATGGGCAGGGTAACTCGGTCCGCTTTTTGTTGGATGTTATGACCGTGGTTGATGGATCGATATGCAGCGTTCGTGCTTTTCATGGCATGCGATGCCCCAAAAGCTTTCTCACAGCACTCGTCGCTTCGCCTTCGAAGGGCGCAAAGGGCAGCTTTGGGCCACGGAGGAGACAAGCAACGGCAGACGACCAGTGGTGCGACCCCTTCTCTTCTTGGTGGTGCATCCATTCGACTCGAAATGGAGCTAGATATCCATCATGTTTGCGTTTGTATCACCTTCATAATGATGATCAGAGGCGAATTTCTGAATCTGAACTGGTTTAGGTGCATGACTACTCCGTTGCTTCTTCCTTGCACCGCTATCAAACTCCTGACTTAAACAAGCCCTATCCTGGGTATCTTTGAAGAATACTAAAAAGCATGACGGTTACAGCCATAGCCATAACCCGGTCGCTCAAGGTCAAGGCAGCATCAGGACCATCAATAGTCGCATCCAAGGTACAGCCCGAGTCGCATAGTCGACGAACCGCAGCTCTGAAGCTCTCTTGTAACACCAAGCAGACAAAAAACACCAGGTTCCCTTCACTGATACGGCAGATCCACACCTGCGCCTTCGGAAGAGAGGCGCGCAGTCATCAAACCAGCATGTTGTACAGATGCCCACCTTTAACCCAGGCAGCGAGAAACCACGACTTAGAAGCCCATTGACATAGCCATCTCAAGTACCCATAAGTTTTGTTTCGGTACGATTTCAGGTCCGAGTCCCGCTTAAATGCGACAGCTTTCCTCATTTGAACATGCTTTCAAAATCGAATTCCATGTTCTCCATGTTATCCAAATTGTTTATATTGTCATTGCCTAGCGCGACATTCTCGTCAAAGTTCATGGCGTTGGCATTCAGGAAATCGTCGAACTCATTAGGACCCAAGGCTGGTAAGCCAAAGTCATTAACACTGACATTGGCTGGCTGCTGGTGTTGAAATTGGGTGTTGTTAATGTTATTGTCGGCGCCCATCGATCCTCCAATACCACTTGAGAAGGTCGCGTTAGTGGGAGGTAGTCCGTTTACTGTAGACCCAGGCATGCCAAAATTCGCATCAGCGCCGGCCTGGTTTGCGTATGATTCGAGGCCGGGCAGAAGAGAGCTCAGAGAAGCGTCGTGTTGCATGTTGAGATTCGAAGGGTCAGCTCCAAATCCGTCACCGAGATTGTCAAGGTCGAAATTCATGTCGTTGTTGGACCCGTCCATCATGTCTGCTGATGGTTCTCCAAACATGGATTCAAAGTTGAAAGCCTCGTTGGCCTCGGCTGGAGTGTCTTGCGGAGTCGGCTTGGGAAACTCCTCCGTGGTTGTCTGTGTCATTGTACTCTCGGGTGGCTGCGCTGTCTCGGGTGGCTTCTCCTGAGGCCTAGAAGCTGGTACGACAGCTGGTTGCGATGACTTGATATCTGTAGTCACGGAGACTTTGGGTTTATCTGGCGGTTTCGGTGTGGGGTTCTTCTCTGCTGACCCAGCAAGGGAATGCGCCGCATTGGTATTTGCCGCGACCGTCGGCGGAGGAGCTGGCTTCTGCGCTGGAGAAGGCTGTTGGGCCTTTGGCTGCGGCTGCACCGGACTCTCAGGCTCTTGTGTCTTGACGCGCTTGGGAGCATTTTCGCCGTCCGCGATTTGCGCCGTCTCTTGTGCTTCCTTGGACTCGTCGCGTTTCCTTTTCGCGCTTGCTGCACTGTCTTCTCTTGCTTTTGTCTCACGTCGGGTCTTGTTCAAGGCCAATTGGCGTTCGAGGTACCATTTCGCTTCGAGGATCTGGACCTCGCAGTCATCCAAGGCGTCCTGGAACTTTTTGGCGGTTTCGGCGAGCACCGCTTTTGTGGACTGCGCGTAGTTCAAGGGATCTTTCACGGCGTAGGCAATGCGGGTCACTGAGCCCATAAACATGCCCTCGACCGTCTTTACTGGGTCGTAGGGGGGTTTGGTAGTCGCCATGACGAACAGCACAGCGACTTCGAAATAGGGAGCAGGGAGGAGCGGGAGGAAGGTTTGTACGCAGAGGAGGCGCGCATTCAGCGGAGTGCGAAACGAGGAGTCGCCATTCTCTGTCAAACGGAGGAGTCCATGTCAAGAAATGTGCGTGAGTACTGTCTTGAGTGCAAACGTTTTCCTGTTGTTTCTTCTGCGAATGGGATGATGGAGCCAGAAGAAGTTGATCTGGGCCGTGGGTCAGCGCCAGTCGCGACTTTGGAGGTGCACGAGGTGGTCCCTTCGGAAAAGGGCCTCCGCAGCCCACAGGCGAGGGAGCCCCAAACAGGGCCTCGAGACCCTTTTGGGTCCTAAGCGGGAAGGTAAATCGACGCCTAAACTGGGAGGACCTGCAGCCACCGTCCAGCCCGTGAAGCCTAAACCCGAGAGGGCCACCCCTCCTGGGCAGTGAGCAGTCACCCCAACGGCCACTCCCTCCCTCACTGACACCAGTCAGCAGTAGGCAGCCTAGCTCACTGCCGACTCGGGTCGAGCTACGCCACCGCGGATGAATCTTATTCTTTCCTCGCATCTCTTCCCATCTCCTCTATCCTTCAACCTATCTCATCCCAAGTATCCTTTCTTCCATCTCCTCTTCCATTACTTGTCGTCGTTCTTCCTTCTAGTCGTCGATTGGCATTTGTGCATTGCAAGTTGGGCGTTGGGAAAAGACCTCGAGCGATTTCTTATCTCTCCTTTTCCTATCGTCTCTCTCAGTCCCATCAGCTACATTACTTTTCTGTGTGTGTGCTGCGCTGCGTTGCTCTGCTCTTCCCCCCCCGTTCTACTGCTACTACATACACTACTACCACTGTCAAACATCTGCAGTTACTCCCTCCAGCCGCCTGACACTCGTCTCGGCGCGACCTCTTTCGCGGCCATCTTACCTATCACGCATTCGAGTCCTTCCTCTCCTCCTTCCGTCTCCTCTCCTTCGACTCTGTCGCGCTGCTCTACTGGACTTGGTTGGCTTGTCACCTTGATAGCGAATTTGTCTCGACGTTTTCCAAGCGAAATTTCCTTTACCTGCCCACGACCCACTTGTCGCCATTACACTCCCCGCAATCTTCGTACCCAGGTACTCAACCGCCAAAATTTCAAAAAGCACCTTGACGAGCTTCTATTGATCTACCCTACCGAACCTGCAATCTTCTGTGCCTGTTCGAGTCATTTTCGCCTGGTGCGCACTTTTTTATCTCTTGATCCTTTGGAGTTGTCAGCCAGTCTCCTTTGCTCAACATGACGGAAAACATTCCTCCTGCGACACTACCACCACCACCACCTTCGACCGCGGGCGCCCCAGGCTACGATGGCGTTCAGGGTAGCAATGGGCATACTGCTACCAGCATGGGACCTCCAGCACTGCCTCCGGTTGTCATTCCGCAAAACAATAATACGGTCCCGACCCCCGTGACCCCGGGATCTGCGCTGTCGCCTACCTCGGGGGGTGTCGTTCGAAGAGCTGCACCAGAACCAAATAAGAGGGCGCTTTATGTGGGCGGCCTCGACCCTCGAGTCACCGAGGACGTTCTGAAACAAATCTTCGAGACTACAGGCCACGTGGTGAGCGTCAAGATCATCCCAGACAAGAATGTGAGTTCACCCCGACTAGGCTGATCTTGCTCCCACTAATGTAAGCACTGTAGTTCAATTCGAAAGGCTTCAACTATGGCTTTGTCGAATACGATGACCCGGGTGCTGCCGAACGCGCCATGACCACCTTGAACGGACGACGAGTACATCAAGCAGAGATCCGAGTCAATTGGGCCTACCAGTCCAACGCTTCGAACAAGGAGGACACTTCAAATCATTTCCATATCTTTGTCGGCGATCTGAGCAACGAGGTTAATGACGAGGTTCTGCTCCAGGCGTTCTCTGCCTTTGGATCGGTTTCCGAGGCTCGTGTGATGTGGGACATGAAGACTGGTCGATCTCGCGGCTACGGATTCGTCGCCTTTCGCGAAAGACCTGATGCGGAGAAGGCTCTCGCATCCATGGACGGAGAGTGGCTCGGCAGTCGTGCCATTCGTTGCAACTGGGCGAACCAGAAGGGTCAGCCGTCTATCTCCCAGCAACAAGCCATGGCGGCGATGGGCATGACGCCTACAACACCCTTTGGGCACCATCACTTCCCGACCCAAGGCATCCAGTCCTACGAAATGGTCGTCAACCAGACTCCCACCTGGCAAACGACGTGCTATGTCGGCAATCTTACGCCGTACACGACCCAAGCAGATCTCGTTCCCTTGTTCCAGAATTTTGGCTATGTGGTGGAAACCCGATTTCAATCCGATCGAGGCTTCGCATTCATCAAAATGGATACGCATGAGAATGCGGCAATGGCCATCTGTCAATTGTCGGGGTACAATGTCAACGGCCGGCCGTTGAAATGCTCGGTAAGCACAAGCAGATGGCAACCGTTGACTCCTTCCTGATGGTGGCTAACTCCAACAGTGGGGCAAGGACCGTCCTCCTACTGGCCAATTTGACACCTATTCGCCGCAGACCTCAATTGGTTCTGCCTCCACGCCCGGTGGTTATAATCCAGCCTCGCCGTATTTCTCCCAATATGGAGGTCCAGGACCGATCACCCCGCAAGGTATGGTAGACAACACCGCTGTCACGTACAAGGCTGATCGAGTTCAAGGTCCAAGTCCTGGTGGACGCGGTGCTTGGGATTCGAGCCATCTTGCCAGTCCTTATACTGCATCCCCGCAATCTGCGTTTGGCCAGGTTCCTCCATCAGCCGGGGGCTATGGTCGTGGTCAGACCACTCCAGGAGGAATGTTCCAACACCCCCCACCTTCATTTGGTAACAATTATCCCGGATATCAGGCATAGCTTACGAGAGATGGGGCGTGTTCTTCAATATGCGTGACGGAGGACCAGGAAGATTGATCGTCAGATTGGGCATTTGTTTTCATTGTCTCTAAACCTTCTGCTCACAGTGGCCTCTCGGCTTGAGCGGTGATCGAAGGATCAGACGTCCTGGCACCTTGGCTCGCTGACGCCACTTCTCTTCATCTCCATTCCTCCTAATCTCGTCTCCAGCTGGTCTATTGTGACGGTCGTCGATCTCCATCTTTTTGCGGAAGAGACTGATGAAGATGCTGCTGGTATTTGCCGTTCTTCAGGCGTCCATTGCGGTTTTACTGGGCTTCTTCTCATCTCTGGTGGTTACCTGAGAGAGTGAGATGCTGCAAAAGCATCTGGCAATCATGAATTGTTGAACGCTGCTACTCGACATTGGGGTCAGAATGGGATAACTTTAGCAACACTCAAAGGGTGGGATTTCGTGGCGAACGTGGGTGCAGCAGAGTGGCAGCACTCTTACGTTTGTAGTTGACCAGGGTAGTTATCTGCAGGATAACCCCGTGTGGATATGACATTTAATGACAATCACCAACTTGAACTTCACAGCTATGCTAGAGGGCAAGAACAGAGCGTCGCCAGTATTAGTTCAAGGCACGAGAGCCCGTCAGGCGCAGCCTTGTGCAGCCTCGCTCAGCCTGATCACGTGACTCAGATCATTCAGCCTGTATCGGAAAGCTTCCTTCATCACAAACCCTCGCTGTCAATATCAACTCGGATTCGATCATTCGATCAATTTTATCTAAACGTCCCGCTCCATCAATTGCAGCTTCCGAACCCCAGCACAAGTGGTACGAGAGACAAATCGTCAATGGATCCCAACGCTCGACGACTCAGCCGGAGCCTCCGTTGTGGCGATAAACAGAGACGAAACAGTCCACCTTACAGAACATTGAAACACTGGATATGGCTTATCGCAACTGTGCGAGGTCTCCAATAGTGCCCGGGGGCAATAACGGCTTTTGACTCGTAATGCCGATGAGCCCCAGCCTGTGGCCAGCGGAGCCTCGGTCTTTCTCGCAATCTCTGGACTCTCTCCTTGCTATCTCCTCCCCCACCCCTTCTTGCTGTAACCAGCAATCTCTCCTTTGTGATTTATCTTGTATGAATCGTTCAGCAGGGTCCAGCCGCCATCAGCGGCTTTGGGGTACCCATCCTGGAATCGGATGTCTCGCACTGGGGGTGGGACAGCACTTGTCGCCAGCTCCTCCCAATGTTTCCTCTCTTCCCTTGCATCGTTCAGATCTGCCTCCGCATATTTCAAGTCGGCGGCTAGCTCGCGACACTTTGACCGCGCTTCATCTCTTGATTCAGTCATGGCGTCCAAGTCAGCTTGTGTCCGTCGTTGTGCTGCCTGCTCTTCATCTCTGGAAGCTGTCATTGTCGTCAAGTCGACCTTCGTCCGGTTATGCGCTGCGTGTTCCAGATCTCGCGAATCAGTCACTTCTTTCAAGGCGGCTTTTGTCTCGGTATGTGCCGTCCGTTCTTGGTCTCTGGATTCAGTCACGGTTTGCAGGGTGGCTTTGGTCTGCTCGTGTGCTGCCTGTTCTTTGTCTCTCGACTGAGTCACTGATCTCAAGGTGGCTTTTGTGTGGTTGTGCGCAGTCTGTTCTTGATCTCTCTGTCCAGTCGTGGCTTTCAGGCTGGCTGTTGTCTTGCCATGTGCTGTCCGCTCTTGATCTCTCGAATCAGTCATTGCCTTCAAGCTAGCCTGTGTCTGATTATGTGCAATCTTCTCTTTATCTCTGGCTTGAGTCATTGCCTTCAACTCGTCCTCCACTTGCTTCAACTTCGATTTGATATCGACAAGCTCTTTGCCTCTGCCGGAATATTCGACTTGGAGATTGTCCAACTCCCGACTCTTTTGGTCCAGCTGTGCTCGAGTCTCGCTGTGCGTATTCTCTTCCGCTCTCAGTATCGTCAAGCAACAAGGTTGAGCACGCTCATCGCTTATGGAACTGCCTTTACGGGCTGCTTCGATCTGCGCCTTCAGCTTCAGAAGTCTTTGGGGCCTCTGTAATTCCGCAAGTTCTTGTGAGAGGCGTGCCTCTTCCTCCACGGGCGTTTCGACACCCTCGCCGCCTGTGTTTGGCTTGCTACCCATGACGCTGCGGTCGATCTGTTCGTGTGCTCCGCGGTTCCAAGGTTTGTGCTATTGAAGTGTTGCTCTCAATTCAACAAGGCTAACCAGCAGATATTTCACGGTATTCAGATATAGAATCTCGGCACGTCATGTCGAAGCGAAGTTGGGGCACAGTTTTCAGCTGACCTTGAGACAGAGTGCTGGCCTGCCTCGTCTTTCGGGGGGGAGTGCATGGGGCTAATGCACCTCTACCCAACCGGCGCCCCGGACAATCCGAGCAAGGCAACAATTTGTTTTTAGCTGAGACTTGATGGACATGGTCAGGCGGTGTTGAGGAAGCGACCCATTATAACTCTAAGCAGGAGCAACGGCTATTGCGGCTCTGCTAACCAGCTCTCCGGAAAACCGCTAGTTGAGGAAACTACTTAGGTCCTGGAATCCAAGTTGCTGTTGGTCCCAATCCCATCTCCCTACGAAGGAACCCTCGGAGTCTTCCTTCAAGCCGTCACACAACCAGGAATCGATTCCCCAGTGCGCCGAATCCATCACAACCATCATCTTCACTATGCTCCGTGCTTTCCGAATCACCTCCATCAGTTTCTGCACCAGCTGGAAAGGCCGATAATCACACTGGTCCGCACGATCCAAAATGATATAAACCGGCTCTTCTGATCGGAGTTCGGTAAGTAGGTCGCTCAGCATCTTGAACATTGCATTCACAACATCATCCCCAGCATCTTTCCAGGAGATTGTTCGTGCCAAAGACAGGAAACTCGAGTTTTGTCGCAGGATGTCAGGCTTCCACCCTACTATTTGACATATAAGGCTCAAGATAGCTTCGTGGACACCGCACTTTTCGGAGAGGATCTGCGGGTGGCAGCAGTGGAATGCCACGTGTCGGTTTTCGGAAAGCTGGTCTTCTGCCACATATATGGTCGCTGGAGACAGCCACGAACACGTACTTATGTTGGCTCGACCCTCCATGAGGCTGGCGCCACCCAAAAGTAGCAAACAGGAGCGGTCGCTCTCCAACCAAACGCGGTAAGATTCTTCGTTGTTCAATACGTCCGGGGTCAACTGCGAGTACCACCGCGCGATCTTCCCAGGCTTCGCACCCATCAGCACAGGGAATGCTCCTCCGAGGGTCCGCTTGCAGGATTGGATATCTGTGTGGTCGCTTGTCTCCGGGACATTGACCAATGCCCGGAAGTTGGCAAATTCTTTCCGGTCTCTTTGCACCTGTTCCTCGTGGATGGTCTGACGCAGTCCTAAAACCCCAAACGACAGTCAGTCTCTAGAGACACCGTGGCGGAAGTGAGAGGGACACACGCTCGAGCTGTGATCGCAGATCCATATTGAGATCTTCTATGACTCTCATTTGTTGCTTGAGTTCCCTGTTTCCACGCAGCAATGCTTCATTCTGCTCTTCAATATATTTAGCTCTCTGGTGGAGCAGAACGGTGCTCTCGAGGTTAACTTCCACAAGTTTGTGACGAAGACTTTCGATGGACATTCTGAACTCGACCTCTTGTTGCGGGTCTCCGGCCGCGAGGTATCTCGCTGGGGATTTCTAGTCAGTGGTCTTGCGCCTCAGAGACGCAGGTGAAGACAGCAGCCACCTACTGGGTGCACTTATATAGTACAACACAGCCTTTCTGGCGAAGTCGACCATATCTCTGTATGCCTCGGCCACTAGCTTCTCGATCTGCGGCTCTGGGTAGATGTCTGAGAGGAGATTCAACCGCGGGAAAGAATACTCCAAGTCAGCCAGTGCCTTTGCGATCTTCTCGTCGTTTCCCGTCTTATTGACCACAACCTTGACCGTGTTAACCTGGGGCACTGAGAATCGCAAGAGGAGGGTCGTCATTCACAATCAAGAGGAGCGACAGCGTTCCGTATGCCAGATTGCCATATGGAGCACTTGCATTTTTGACCACTTCCACGATCCCCGAGTACGCTGTGAGAAAGTTAGAGAACCGGGTTATAAATACCTGGAAAGCGGTTCCATATCGCCTTGAGCCGGTTTGTCGTCCCTCGAGCCAGCTCATATACGCCGCCCTCGCCTCTTCTATCTGCATTTCGACCTCCTCCTTTGTGCCCTTGGCCTGAACAAGGAGTTGAGCATCAAGTTGAGCATCAAGGCTCTGCTTGAACGCCGCATCGCCTGTCGAGACTGCAGCAGCGGCATCCAAATTCTCGCTGTGGCGGAGTCGGACATCGAATAAGTCCCATGCATACATATCACCATGGCATATTGGCAAGGACTCACGTTGCAGAGTTGTTCAGATTTCCCCGTCGGAACCAGCTGCGTTTCAACCTCGAGGCCGACAGTCTTGATGGCGTGGAGACACGCCGAACGGTGCCATACTCATTCATGCTTGCTGAACACCAAAGGACATGCAATTTACACCGGCTGCATGGCGCTTTGTATAGGTACAGCTGGCGATCTTCGTCTGCCATTGCCAGACATTCCTCATCTTATGCAGCTGTGCCCATGAGCCTGGGCTGGCCGATTCGGGCACCATTGGATGCCTCATCATTCTCCGGGAGACCGACGGTGCCCAAGCGCGTCGTAAAGCATGAGAGTCCCAAGGGGCGGTGATGGCGCCTTGATGTGGGCAGCAAAGAGGAGATGTGTTTCGTGGCCATTGGCCATCCTGCAAGGTCTCCAGAAAGGTGGCTTTGACGTACACACCTCTTCATCGCTGCAGCCAAACTCGACGGAGTGAGTCCGGCTTCATGCATCCGGCTCTTTTGGGATTGATGCTCTTTTTAGTCAAAGCCCGAACGAGGGTGCAGCTCCCACTCTCAATGGCACGCTCGTTTCAGCACCCAAGGACAGCCGAGACGCCGCATGAACGCGCAGCAGGCGTCGTATCGAGTCGCAATGCTTAAGCCGAGCCTAACGGCGGCCGGTCCAGCGCAGGAAGACGCAATCCTTCTGGCTTCGTCGTGGACCTCTGGAAACCTTTTGGGGGACTCATGCCTCGCTACACCTTAAAGAGTCACTTCAAAGTATCTCGGCGCCCTTGAACGCGCCATGTCGGGAAAATTTGTTCATTTCTGATTCCATGACTTCAGACCAGGGGAAATGGCCCCAAACACATCCAGCAAGACAGCCCAGGTACCTCAAGCCGCAAACCTTGACCATCAGGCTCGTAATGACCGATAAAGGTTCCTGTCGCCGCGCCCTCAGCCTCGACTGCAGCGCCAGAAGCCCCAGCAACAGGGCCAAAAGCAACTGCCACGCAGGATCGCAAGGAAGAGCTAGAGCAGAGATACATCAGCCTGCTCGAGAAGCGAGTTGAATACCTGCAAAGCCTGGTTGATTCGCAAAGTGCCGAAAAGGTTGGAGGGGTCCCTCTCCTTCCGGAGAACTAACTCGGATTGACGCCCATTACTCTTTTTATCTAGGAACCTCCGGCTCGACCGCAAAGAAAACAGAGTGACAGGCAGGACTTTGTCTCACCGAGAAGCAGCCGCGCGGACAATTCCACAGATGGGAAACCCGTACCTGCCAAGTCGGAGGACAAGGCTGAAGAACAACCGGTTTGTCCTTGTGTCTCATTACGGCCCTTGAGGGCCAACTGCATAATCTTCTGTGACTTATGGTGGACTCAACTAGGTCCCCGATCCTTCCGAAGTTTCGAGGTATGCCTATGTGATGAGCAGATGGGACGGCCGAAGCGGGGGCCGCAGAGACACGGAGATCGGTCGGTGGAACGAGCTCGAAGGGAAAGCGCCGTCGTCCAAAAGGGCATTCACGTTCCGGCGAGTGATGGACCTCACCGACGAGAAGAAGTTCAAGTACTCCGAGGTAGACGTCGAGTCTCGCGAGCTCCGTGGCCTGTTGAGAAAGGTGATTGGAGACTCGTACCCGGGCCAAAGCTGGGAAGGAAACACCATCAATCTGATAGCTCCCTTTGCGCCGGTGGTCCACTACTGGAAAGAGCTCTCTGAAACCAGTCGACGAAACGACGACAGTGAGAGCCCTCGGGTCCAAGCAGCGAGGAAAGACCTGAACAATCTCCTCGAGTGCATATCGACGTGCACCGAATTGGAGTCCTACTTCAAGACGCGAGATTCCAATCTGGAGTCCCACACCGTCACCTACCAAACCATCTGGACCCTATTTCGACCTGGCACCTTGGTCGTGGCGAGACCGTTCATGAACCTGCCTCAGGTCTTTGAAGTGAAGGCGTCGCCCGATCCGTGGGAGGACCGGAGACTGACTATCGAATGCTGGGGCTACGACTGGAACGGCAAGGAGATTGTGAGAGTCACCTTCGAGTTCCCCATTGAGAAATTCCGGGGCACCAAGGAGATCAGTTCCCTGTTTTGCTATCCCTTGGAGTTCTACCGAGACGAAAAGGGCAACTTCGATGAATCCCTCCGTGCCGAGCTCGTGCAGAGGGGCAAATGGTTTCTCGAACTGTGTCAAACAACCGGAGCCAGGCAAATGTTTGAATACGACGGGCAAGCCTTTTCCAGCCGAAGGAGCCTCGCCAGAGCCAGTGTAAGAGATAAAGTCCAGCTACCCCCCAGTCTTTTGATGACGGATATCGTACTAACGTTTGCAATGTCATTAGGCGGATGCTGAGAGCAAAACCCCCTCGCTGTCTATGAAAGACGATACAGATCTGTCACTCGCCGCCGAGTTTCTCATTCACAAAACTTTCAAGGTATGCTAACATTCGTTCTTGGTTGTGATGGGAGGTGGCTGATTCCAGTTTCATTCGTCTGCAGGTCAAGGGACGATATATCGTCGACGCTGCTGCCTATCTACAGTTTGGTATTGAAGGCCGAGACTGTCAATAGGTGATTGCTGATAGCACTGGTAGGCCCCGGCATTCCATTGCTTGGAAAGTACGAGCCGACGGATGTCGAGCCTTTCAGCCAAGCCCACGACGAGCAGGGCGTTGATATAGACGAGCACCAGCGTCTGCTGTACCCCCCGCGGGTCCTGGGATATGCAACCCAACAGAAGATGTGGGCTCAGTTCAAAGTGCACAACACGACGCCGGTGCCGACCGATCTCTCCAACGCCTTCAAGGACAAGCTGGAATTGGATGAAAAGGACAAGAAGATGATCAAGGCACTGGTGGAAAACCACGAAAGCAGCAAGGACACAAGCCAGGCGCAGGTGAATGACATTATCGAAAGCAAGGGCAAAAACCTGGTTATACTATTGCATGGTAGGAAGTATGTCATGATTCCGACCGACCAAATTTACTAACAGCCACTTCCAGGCCCTCCAGGAGTTGGCAAGACTGTGAGTAATGCCCGCTGTGACCGGTTTCAGACATCAAGATCAACATTGCCGCTGCCGGCTAGTTGGTTAGAAGATCCTCGCCAAATATCGGATTTCCTTTGCGGGTGAAGATTTTCCACTGCTGTGGCTAACTCTGATGAATAGCTCACGGCAGAGACGATTGCAGAGGCCACGGGCAAGCCACTTTTGGTCGTCACCGTGGCTGAAATCGGCCTGGATGCGTCAAAGGCAGAGAAGAGCCTGGAGCAGATCTTCTATCTTGCCGGGGTGTGGGAGGCAATTCTCTTGATGTAAGACGGTCGATTTGGGGGAGCACTCTCCAACTGACACATCATCAGCGACGAGGCCGACGTCTTTCTGGAATCTCGGTTCGTCATGGGTGATCCGAACAGGAACGCCTTGGTCTCAGGCAAGTGATGATCCGTCTAGGTTCAACAGAACGACCCTTGCTGACAGGCAAACACCCAGTCCTGCTCCGCGTGCTCGAGTACTTCGAGGGGGTCATGATCCTGACGACGAACCGGATCACGTCGCTCGACATCGCGGTGCAGTCGCGCATCCACCTGGCGATCCGGTACAACGACCTGTCCAAGGACCAGAAGATCAAGATCTTCAACATCTTCCTCAGCCAGCTCGTCACCGAGGGCAAGGTCGACGGCGAGGGCATCGGCGAGTGGATCCGCTGGGTCGGCAGCGAGGCCGAGGTCAACGGCCGCCAGATCCGCAACATCGTCTCCTCGGCGTACCTGCTGGCGCGCAGCCAGCACCGCAACCTGCGCCGCGAGGACCTGCAGGACGTCAACGGCATCATGAAGAAGTTCCAGAAGCAGCTCGAGACCCTGACCGCCGCGGCGCGGAAGCAGAACGAGGGCCAGTTGAATTCCTTGGGCGGGTATGGATAAGTTGCCGACGTCGACGTAGTTTGCAATAGCATATCCGTCCCACCGTGGATCACCTTGTTGATTCCACAGCAAAAGTCTGGTTATTGTTCCATTGTAGCTGCAGAGCTCTTGTCGATAAGATGATCCGACAGAGGAGGAGAATTTGTGCGCGGAATCCCGTCACTCTCTGGCTTCATCGTAGCTCTAGCAGCCAAGCAGTATCTGTTGATTCGGCTGAAGGTGGCAGAAGGGGGGGTAGCGTTCTCCCAGACCTGCACATTGTCGGGGAGTGTATTAGACTGGCAATAGACGGAGACTGTGCTTTGGAGGAATCAGCTGTCATTGGTAAGGGCGGGCGTCCAGTTGAGATAAGGGATGGCACGTAATATTAAATTGATACTCGTGTCTGGAAAAAGGGTGGGTCCAGGATCCCTGGTTTTCTTGGTTTCCCGCTCTCGCTCAGCGTGGCATATGGCATATATTGCAGTAGGTGACTTGAGAGGAGAAATCCCCATCTCCGAGTATTATGTCTAGAATTGCATGGCGTTGGATGGGCCATATTCTAGCGGTGTAAAGCCCGTGGACTGGGTCTGAGAACCAATGGAATGTCCGGGGTTGATATTACTCGGCCACTCGGAGTCCTTGGGGACCAAGAACAAATTAATGGCAGTTTGGGGTAGAGTCATATCTGAAGATTGAGACTGGTTATCTAGAACTCCGAGCGGACCATCGACAGGGGCCGGTATTCATAATATCGCTCCTGTATGTAAGGACTAAAAGGGGCAATCAGCCTTGTGACGCCCTTGATTTGATAGTTCTCGCTTGCGATAGTTAATAAATGCCCGGACCCCTAGCTTCTAGGCTTCTAGCATGAACTAACTACCGAGAAACTCAACGCTGCAGGAATTTTCAGAGAGCGGCGACCAGCTCGGCCACCGTCTTCATGGGCTTGTCGTTGTTCTCGCCGACGTCCAGCGGGACGAGAATGCGGCTGACGGCGTTGTATCCCGCGACGACGGTGGCCAGCTCGAGGATCTCGCGGTGCGTGAAGAGCCGTTTGAGCGCCTCGAAGGTGTCGTCCTGCACCCTGACGTCGACGGTGGCTTCGTCGGTGTACCGCAGCACGGCGACCTCTGTCTCACTCAGCGCCTCCTTGTCTTGCCCTCCCACCTGCCCCTTGGGCGCGTCGTGGGCGATCGCTAGGGCCTCCGCCGACAGCCCGGCCTTGAGCGCCAGCGCGGCGTGGATGTTCCACTCGTAGACCGCGCCGGTGAGGATGGCGACGCGCGAGACGGCCAGCTCGAGCAGCGCCGGCGGCACGACCGTCTCGGTGCGCAGCGCGCCCACGAACGCGTTGTACCCGCTCGCCACCGGCGGCGAGTGCAGCAGCGTCAGGTCCAGCGGGATCAGGGGCCGCGGGGTGCGCCGCGCCGCGATGCGCGCGTAGATCTCGGCGACCGACGCGGGCGAGTCGGGCGGAGGGGTCGACGGCGCGTACGGGAGGCGCATTGTTGGGGTGTGACTCTCTCTTTTTGGAAAACCGGATCTGTGAGGGGGTTCGAGGAGTGGTGTTTTGTGCAGAATGAATGCAAGGCGGCCACGAGGGGAGAAGAGGAAACAGAGGTGGGAAAATGTTCGCGCAGCACAGTGTGTTTCTTCAATGGATCTTAATGGTTGCGGGGTTGGAGCGCGCTTTTAAGGGAACAGGCCCTGGGTGATTTTCTCTGCGGCGCGCAAACCCGCACAAGCCGGCATCGGGGATCGTCGGATGGGCAGCTTGACATTTTCACAGAATGGAGGATCAGGGGGTGAGAAAACGAGGCGGAAACAGGGCATGTCAGGTGAAGAGCGAGTCGCCTGAGAAGGTGTTTATGAAGACCCAAAGCACTACACTCTGGACATTTGGAAGTCAGGCTTCAGGAGAAGTCCTTGATCCGTCATGGTGATCATAGATGGTATTTTTTGATATTCACTACAGCTACAGGAATCGTTGGAGCGGCTGAGGCTTCGTCCACAGCGTCGAGGGCATTGAAAAAGGCCCCCTCTCGTCCTCCTCCGTCGCAAACCATGCATTCAACAGACACACACAGACACAACGCCAGAACCCCTTCCCAAACCCCTTACGCTGAAGATGCCTAGAAGACGGTGTGAACCCAGCCGGCCTTCTGGCCCGGCTTCAGGGGCGCCAGGGTGACGTTGTACTCGAGATCCAGCTCGGCCTTGGGGTCCTTGGAGGGGTTGAAGTCGAGCAGCAGGTCGTCCTTGACGGCGCAGACCGAGTCGCTGGTCACGTAGGGGTCGTCGCGCGGGTAGAGCTGGGTGGTCAGGGATTTGTAGCCGTCGGCGCTGATCATGAGGTGGATGTGGGCGGGCCGCATGGGGTGGCGGTCCATGAGGTTCAGCAGGACGCCCGCGGGCCCGTCGGTGGGCAGCGAGTAGGCGGTCGGGTGGTAGCAGTAGTAGTAGTACTCGCCCTTGTCGTTGGTCCTGAACTTGCCGCGCAGGTTGTTGACGGACTGGGCGTCGTCCTGGAAGTCGTACTTGCCGTTGGCCGAGGCCTGCCAGATGTCGACAATGGCGTTGGGGATCGGCTTGCCGGTCTTGTAGTCGCTGACCACGCCGTGCATCAGGGTGAGTCTGCCCGTCGGGTAGGGATCTTGGACGATGCTGTCGCCGAGATTCCGGAATGGCGCGTGGGGGCTCCAGAAGGGACCCAGGATGGTCGACGACGTGGGTGTTTCGTCGCTGTCCAGCATGATCTTGTTGGCGACCTCGTCAACCAGTCTGTAGAAATGGCAAGTGGTTAGTTCTCTCTCTCTCTCTCTCTTTTCAGAGATTTCTGTCACCTACGATTCAATGCCGAGCACATCGCAGATCCGCTGTCCTTCGTTGCGCTTGGAGTCGCTGATCTGGCCGATGGCGTTGACAAACTGCACGCCTCGCATCCATTCCTCGGGCGTCAGCTCGGTCTCGCGGATAAAGTCGTGGAGATGGCGGATCAGCTTTCCCAGCACAAAGCGGGCTCGGTCGGGCGTCTTGGGCCCCATGGCGTTGATGAGGCTGTCGGTGAAGTTGGGGTCATATTTGTGCGCGGACGAGTGCCCGTTGGTGGTGCCGTTGAGGTTGGCGGTCGTCGAGTTTTCGACCACGTTCTGGAACGACATGGTGTGCCGGTGGACTGAGGAAAGTTGTCGTGTGAGAGGGAGCTGTCTGAACCAAGGCCGCTGGTCAAGTCAAAGACACAAAGGGGTGGACTGGAAGAAGGGGAATAAGCTGAGAGTGAAGAAGAGATGCTGCCTCTGCTTGTCAGGGCCGTGAGGCAGTCATATATGTATGAGCTTTGTCTCCGTCCACTCCCCAATGCTCCGGCAGCAACGGTCGGCTCATGACGTGCGATTCTGACCTCGATTCTGGGGAAGCCCTTCATTCTCGGAATCGAATACTTCCACACGCGACGTCTGGGCCAATTAGGCGGGTGTCAAGTCTAAGCAGGCCGGCATCATAGGCTGCGCGCCCTCAGAGTCGGCAAGTTGGTGCCGCCCCTCGCGCACTGAGGTGCCTGGAAACACGGCAGTTGGGAAGATGCGCGGCGCGTAATATGTATCGACGACTTGCCGGCAATCAGATTCGGCATCTGGCCATCTTTGCATTGACTCTCGCTGCGGGGCAGTTCCGGGGGCAGTCTTTGCCACACACGCCCTCAGCACTCTACTATACCCCAACACCAACATAGCAACGAGGCTTGAAATAGCCATGTGATTCGAGTCGCTCCAGCCTGTTTACCCCCCCAAGGTGCCCAAAATGAAACACCATCTCATGATAGGCACATGGACGCCGCCCGGGGCGATTTTCACCGTCGAGTTCGACGACGAAGCCTGGACTCTGCGGCTGGTCAAGAGAACATCCATCCCCGAGGACGAGCCCATATCATGGATGACCTTTGACGTGAGTACACACCTCCCTGTCACTTTTTGCTCGGCTGACAACGCCCTGTAGCATGCACGGCGAAACATCTACGGCGCGTCGATGAAGAAATGGTCCAGCCATGCCGTCAAGGCCCCCGACCACATCGCCCATGAGGTTTCGCATCCCATGAACCATGACCGTATGTTGGCCAGCTTCCTCCAGGCTTGAATTCCCAGGCTCACGGACCAGCACAGCTCGAGCTCAGAGCGCCGACACCCGGACGAGGGCCATCTTTGTGCTGGCCGCCAAGCAGCCCCCTTACTGCGTCTATGGCAACCCGTTCTACGAGCACGCGGGCTACGGCAACGTCTTCTCTGTCGACGACCAGGGCAAGCTCGACCGGAACATCCAGAACTACGAGTACAGCGAGCAGTCGGCCATCCACGGCATGGTCTTTGACCCGACCGAGACGTACCTGTACTCGGCCGACATGTGGGCCGACAAGGTCTGGACGCACAAGAAGGCGAGCGACGGCACCCTCACCCTGGTCGGCAGCGTCGACGCCCCCTCGCCGGGCGATCACCCCCGCTGGGTCGAAATCCACCCCAGCGGACACTATCTGTACGTGCTGATGGAAGCCGGGAATCGCCTGGGGGTCTACGTGATCGACCCGACGACGCACCTCCCCGTCTTCACCCAAAATCTCTACCCGCTCGTTCCTCCAGGTATGTGCGCCTTGCACCCACAAGCCAAACGAAATCCCATCAAGAGGGGCTAACGGGAAACAGGGGTCCGAGATCTCAAGAAGATGTACAGGTCGGACGTGGTGTTTTGTTCGCAGAGCGGGCAATATCTCTTCGCCACGGCCCGCTCCAACTCGTCCAGCGTGACGGGCTACATCAGCGCCTTCAAGCTGGGGCCGCAGGGCCAGGTCCAGAAACAGCTGTGCCTCAGCCCGACGCCCAACAGCGGCGGCCACTCGAACGCGGTGAGTCCTTGTCCCTGGACAGACGAGTGGTTGGCTTTGACGGACGATCAGGACGGGTGGGTGGAAATCTACCGCTGGCACAACGAGTATCTCTCCCGCGTGGCCCATCTGGACATCAAGGAGCCTGGCTTCGGGATGAATGCCATCTGGTACGACTAAAGGCTCCGACTCGTAGCGTCCCCTATACCACATACTGTACGGTGTAAATATGGCCATAAATCATAGACCTCGTTCACTCCTCCCGCGTCATGCCTCGTGGCGGATAAAGACTTTTCCGCTCTCTCGAGCTTGTCGCCCCACGGAACACTTCCGATGCAGATGAAGGTTTTACGGGGGACTGTAGGCAGAGGCATCGAAGTTCGGCAAATGCTTCGTCCATCTGGCGCACACTTCCCGGAAGCCCGCTGCTGGCGTCTCTCTCTGTCTCCATTGGCTTGTCTGTGACGACCGTGAAGATTTCAACCATACCTTACCTATTGAGCTGGCTACGACTTGTTGCATGTCCACACAGCCTCTCCAGAGCAATTCATCACTCGACTGCGTTGGTGGTGCCACCTTGACTCGCGAAAGAGGGCCCGGGCAGAATAAATTACCGGTCGAGAACCAAACCCACCTTGACTGTCGGGGGTCTTACCACGGGTGCGTCGTGGAAACTACCTAGGTAAAGAAAGAGTCACTCACATTGTGTTTGGCGCGGTATCAACGGGGGGGGCGTTGTGAGTTGTGCCCGTCATGCCATCCTCGAGCCCCGTTCGCGGGCTGCTGTTCGTGACCATGCAGCCCAAGGAGACCTTGTCGCTCGACCTCTTCCACGACTGGTACAACAACGAGCACGGACCTAATCGAACCCGCCTGGCGTTCATGCCGAATGGGTTTCGATACCGCGCGACCGACCTGCCAGGCCCCAATGCCGGCACGCGCGCCGACCCTGAGTTCCTGGCCATCTACGACGCCACCGACATGCACCAGTTCACCGAGCAGCCGTACCAGTATCTGCGGGCGCCGCCGGGCAAGACGCAGCGCGAAATCGATGTCATGGCCCAGATCTGGGTGGACCGCTTGACGCTGGATTTTGTGGGCGAACGGGTCAACGATGCGACATTCGTCAAGCTCGAGGCGCCAGAGCATTTCCGCGAGAATGAACAGGGGAATGTCCTGACCACCCTCCGACTGCAGCTCACGCCCGAACAGCTCTCGAGCGTGGAGGACTGGATCCAGACCACGGTCCTCCCACAGGTGCAAGACGTGCCGGGCTGGAGGAGGACGTCGTGGTACAAGACGTCCTATCTCGAGCCTCGCGGAGACGGCCAGGTCGATTTCGTCCTGATCAACGAATACACGCCGTCGACCGACCCCAAGGCACTGCCCTCGACGTTGCAGACACCACCAATTCAGGTTTCGGCAAGCAAGGCACGCACATACGAACTCTTCTACACCTTTGGAACCGCAGCGCGGCACCTGGCCATCGTGGCCCCGTGGACGTCGCCGGACGGAGTCACCAAGACCCTCCCAAACGTCTCGCCGTACGGCTCGGCGATCGAGTCGACCGTCACCACGCGCGACGGCGCCGTGCTGCCCTTCCGCCTCGAAGGCAGCGCCGACCCCGACGCCCCGGTCCTGGTGCTGGTCAACTCGGTCCTCACCACCTGGGCCATCTGGGACGCCTTCCTCGCACACTTCTTCTCCCGCCCGCAGAACCAAAGATACCGCGTCCTCCGCTTCCTGGCCCGTGGCCGGACCATCCCCAGCGGCACCACCAGCCCCGTGACCGTGGACCTGCAAGCGTCCGACATCATCCAGCTGCTGGACGGCCTGCGCATCCCCCAAGCGGCGGGCCTCGTGGGCGTGTCCATGGGCGGCGCCACCGCGCTGGCGACGGCGCTCCAGTACCCGTCGCGGATCCAGGCCTTCATCGCGTGCGACACGTCCGCCAAGTCGCCCGCCGGCAACAAAGAGACCTGGGGCCAGCGCATCGCCGTGGCCGAGAAGGAGGGCACCACGCTGCGCCTGGCGTCCCTGTTCGGCGACGAGTCCCCCGACGCCAGCCCGCAGGCCGTCGTGGGCGAGGCGCTCGCCGAGATGACGGTGCGGCGGTGGTTCGTGCCCGCGGCCTACGCCGACCCGGCGCTCGTGCCCGAGATCGCCAAGGTCAAGCGCATGATCTACACCAACTCGCTGCCCGAGTTCCGCCGCGGCGTCGAGACGCTGTTCGACTACGACTACACGCCCCTCCTGCCGGGCTACCAGGGCCGCGGCGCGTTCTTGGTCGGCGCCGGCGACGGCGTGCTGCCGCAGGGCATGGAGAAGCTGGCGAAGGAGCTGGGCTCGGCGGCAGGGAAGACGGCCGGCTTCAAGCTCGTCGCGGGCGCGGGCCATTTGCCCATGGTCGAGAAACCCGGCGAGGTGGCCGATTTCGTGGCGGACTTTTTGAACGCCTCTTAGCCTAGGTAGCGAGCTTGCCCTCCCTTTAGACACCTGGCAAGCTGAAGAATATTATACGAGCCAAAGACATCTTCTGGGGTGTTACTGCCTTGCCGTGCCATTGGCACGATCCTGCGGGAGGCTATGGCACTTGTTCCTGTGTCTATCTTTGTACGCAACCACTCATCTTCAGTTTTTCTTTTCCTCGCTTGATTTTCCTTTCTTCTTCCTCTTCTCTTCCTCCTTCTCTGGTGGCGAGTGATCGGTGAGTAGGCAGGTCAGTAGCAGGTGAGACGAGGGTTGGAGGAGCGCGAGTCGCAAAGCCGTTCTGTTCTCGGTACCGAGGACTTCTAGAAGCGACACGCTTGGGGTGAGTGCCAAAGCGAGTCCCACGTGGGTTTTCACTCGGATGGGGAAGGGAGGGGGGCGCCAAGGAGTAGAAACCACCTACGCCTAGGCTCCACGTTCTGTACCACAAGCACCTACTTAATCGAATCGCGACCACCAGTAAATAGGAACTCACCTAGCACTATCGTCCACGTGGAACACCTGGGTGTGAACGCACCAATTGGGTCGTTTAAGGTGGCACAGGTGGCATTCCGACTGTTTGCCGACTACTCGGTGCTACAACAGACGATCGAGTTATCCAGCCTTCCTGGGACAGTATGGAAGGACCTTGAGAGCGTTTCCTACATTTTGTCGTGCGTTACCCTGTGAAATACATCGCTATCCCTTATGTTCCCATATCGCGATCGCTGACCACCGGAAGCAATGGCAGTTCTCAGCGTCTGTAGTCCATGTAGCATGCCCGAATTCGCTAGCCTCCCACCATATCAAAGCCTCTTCTTTTTCATTTGAATCCACAATACGGAACAAACCCTTCCCTGCGCAACATCTTAAGTCGGCGCTTCAGGCTTCCTCCCATAGACAAAGTGGAAATAACTGTACAGGTGGTTTCTCTTGTCCAGAAACTCATTCCGCACATTCGCCATCAGAACCTGTGTGCTCTCGACGCTCCAGCCGAGAACCCGCGTGAGCAGAGCCAAGGTAAATGGCTCGACGGCAGCGATCATGTGCTCGCGCTCAAACATCCCAATCTGTTTGAGCTTGGGGTCTTTGGGCCACGTCCCCACGGGCACCTTACACAACGGCGCGTCAGGAACCACTCGTCGAATGCGCGGTGCGATAGGCAGACATACCTTGTACATCTCGTCACGAACATCCACAAACCCCGCGTCGATCATGTATTGCTTCTGCAGTTTGGCAATATTGATCTTCTTGCCGAACTTCGTGCTCGCCTCGTCCACGAGCGCAATCCACTGCAGGATCGATTTACCCGTCTGCTGGATCGAGTCGTCGTCCGACCGAAGCCAGGCTTCGTACTCTTGCGCCTCGCACCATCCGCCGGGCACCAGGTGGTTCCAGACCTGCCGGTAGTATCTGGGCCAGTCGGCGACGGAGCCCCCGAGACCTCTCCAGTGAATGTAGTCGAATGCCTCCTCTGGCCGATACAGCCAGTCGCTCTCGGCGTCGTCGATGACAAACTTACAGTTGGGCGGAACCCACTTCGGCTGGATTGGGCTCAGGTCCGTCCCAATCACGACAGATTGAGGGAATTCATCAGCAAAGTCCATCGCCCATATCCCAGTCCCGGTCCCGACATCGAGCACCCGCGGCGGCGCATGCCCTAGAGGAGCGCGAAAAAGCTTGCCGCCGAGTATCAGACGAAAAATGTGGTGGAGAAGGTCCTGTCGGTCTTGCTCGGGCTCGTCGTTGGGTAGCGGGTAGGTGCCCTCGCGGAAGGCGTGGTAGCGCCGGCCATTTTCGTATTTGTAGTTCTGGATGGACGAAGTCAGCGAGGCGCTCGCTGTGGAAAGAGTGTCGAAGCCAAGGGTCGAGTCGTTGTCGTCGGATGTCTAGAGAAGAGAATGTCAGTGACAGGACGGTCCTACAAGGGTCCAGAGCCTTGAAGTCCGGTCTGCGGGTTATACTGACGTCCACTTGGAGATGTAGATTTGGGTCTGGGGCTGCGTCCGGGATCAAAGCGCCTGGATCGGGCTGCTCAGGGTTATCTACGCTCTCCGACATGGTGGTCCAGGCTCCAAAATTGCGCAGATACCCTCGTTCGGGCGGTGGGGAGGAAGTTGGATGACGGTGAGTGAGCGCCTGTTTCATGTATCACGACACGAGAACGACATGGCGATATGTACCGATGGCCATGCGGGATGCCGCGACACATCACCTTCCTATGGGATCTGATGCTTTGGCGATTGTCTGCATGGCCTGCCGATAGCTTCGAACTTTGGCGCGGATGCAACGGCACTGCGCCCGTAGGCACAGTGGTTCTTCTGAGCACCGTGGCCGCCTCCGCAATCCTTCCTCGACGTCCAATAAGCCACTGGTATCGCTTCTGGAAAGGGATGCTCATTGCTCAGACGGCAACCAAGTCGCCCTAAATCTTTGGCTTCTCCCCCCAAACTTGGGTGGGGATTTCAGGCCAAAAGGACGTCCGGGCTGCCACGCGAGCCATCCCATTCCAACGCCTTTGACCGTCTGCAATATGCATGCTCTAACAGGCAGACCGCAGCAAAAGCAGGCCCGCTCCTCTCCGAATGCCTAGGTATGCAGCTTGCGAACACGTGTCATTCTAGCAAATCTGTGGCCTACTTGGTACACAGTAGTGACAACAAGCCTGTCCCTATCATCAGCCCACCAGCTCCCGAGCCGAGCGGGTCGTTTCCCGCGTGGATGTGGCCCAGTCCAGCCTCAATTTCGAGAGGTAATGCCATTCTCACTCTTCCCTTTGCTCTCATTCTGGGATCATCGTCGTCCATTGGGGTTTCTGATTCGCATCAATTGGGGCCTGTGTATTAATGCGATAATTCCAGTGTGAATATGGACCGCCTGTCGAGACCCTCGATCGCCTTGCCCCTCGTCCTTTGCGTTGGATCCTGCTTGTATCTTATCGCGCTTGGAATCTACCGTCTCTATTTCCATCCCCTGGCCAAGTTCCCTGGGCCGAAGCTCGCAGCACTCTCGAGATGGTACGAATTCTATTATGAAGTAATCCGCAAGGGCAACTTCACCCTTCACCTCCCAGCCCTTCACCGAAAATATGGTAAAGATCCGTTTTCACGATCCAGCAGACCAGCCAACTGACGATCAAGGTCCGATCATCCGAATCACGCCAGATGAACTTCATGTGGAGGACAGTGACTATTGGGACTACCTCTATTCTCGTACTGCCCGACTTGACAAGTACGAGTGGATGTCAGGGCGAATGGGCAGCGACGGCATGATCTTCACGACTGCGAGCGCCGACCTTCACAAGCTCCGCCGAGGCGTGTTGAACCCATTCTTCTCCAAACGAAGCATCGTAAACTACCAGCCGTTTATCAGAGAAAAGATCCAGCGCCTATGCACCAAATTGGAGCAATACAAAGAGGATGGACGGATTTTGGCCATCAACCACGCATTCAGCGCCCTCGCCGGCGATGTCATTTGCCAGTACTGTTTTGGGCTTTGCTACAACCATTTGGAGTCGCCCAACTTCGAAGAGAGCTTTCACGATGCTTTTATGGCAGTGAGCGCGTTTGGCCATACCACTCTCCAATTCCCCTGGGTCACGCCTCTGCTCAACGCGCTTCCTGACAGTATTGTTGACAAGATGAATCCGGCCTTGCATATGCTTCTGGTGCTCAAGAAAGATTTCCAGAGGATAATCAGCAACATAGCTAACAGCGACCGTAAGATCGCAGAGCACGCCACCGTTTTCCACGAGGTGCTCAACAGCAACCTCCCTGAAGGAGAAAAGACCCTGAAGCGCTTAGGCGACGAGGCCTTTGGAATCCTGGGCGCTGGCACAGAAACCACCGCCTGGGCTCTCACTCTCGCCACCTTTTACCTCATCAACCAGCCAGCAACGATGAAGCGGCTACAAGAGGAACTCAAGGCCGCGATTCCAGATCCCGCAGCCCCGCTGGACTGGCTGCGCCTTGAAGAATTGCCTTACCTCAGTGCCTGTATCAAAGAGGCGGTCCGATTATCTTATGGCGTAACTTCACGGAGTCCTCGAATTTCGCCAAATAGGCCGTTCAAATACAAGTCTTGGGAGATCCCGGCCGGCACCCCGGTCTCTATGACAATCGTCGATGTCCACAACGATGAGGCCGTGTTTCCGGATTCTCAATCCTTCACACCAGAGCGGTGGCTGGACAATCCGAGGACGGACAACGGCTCGTCTCTTGATCGCTACTACGTTTCGTTTGGGAAGGACGCGAGGTCTTGTCTTGGGGTTAAGTGAGTACCTGTGCCAAAAGGATGTCACCTACTTCCGTGAAATTGTCTACTAACTCGAACATCCCAGCTTGGCCCATGCCGAGCTTTTTATGGTCCTTGCTGCCATCTTCCGCCAATTCACCTTCGAGCTATACGAGACAGATGTGTCCGACGTGCGCATGGCGCATGATTTCTTTATACCCTCGCCCAAACTGGATTCAAAGGGTGTCAGAGTCAAAGTTGTCGGGATTAACAACTAGTCCTCCTAAGCAGGTTCCGGCCAGATGTCTGGTGTTTCCCGGAATGGATATAGATATGTATTGCTGCACCACCAGCTCAGAAATGGGGCAGCTCACAGATTGCGTCTGAACCTACTCTTCGCGGTACTCTATATCAGGATGTCGCACACTGCGCCCAGATGCGTACGATTTGCTCTCTCACTATTATCATCAGCAACCCGCTCTTCAGCGTCACTTCGTTCGAACCTTCAAATGTCTCAAGCATAGTGCAGACTCTGAGGATGGGAGAACGTGAAACCCTCAACGAGGTAATGACGGAAACAATGCGAGAACCTTAGCGACCTTCACATACCCTGGGCCGTGAGGGGTGGTCGGTTTGGAGCTCTTCATCTGTTTCCTTAGGTCTACCTTTCGACCAGTTTAGCCCTTTGAAATGCTCGACTTAATAACTTTTCACGAGCATGTTAAGCTAAACCGCCCTTGACCGCCTTAACTCCCCTAGTTAACCACCCACTGCACCCTACAAATATAGATAGCCACGCAAACCCCTCACACAACTCGATTCTATCCTAACCATCGTGGACACTTGACACTGTCGTCAATCGCGCCGATCCACGACACGATATTGATCCCAGATTTGTCGTCGCCCTACCAGCTTAGAGCTAGCTATGCCACTACACTATGGTTAATCTCCCAGTCAATGTCCCAAACAACCGCAGAAGCTCCGCAAAAACATGCGTCCAGTGCAGAGCTCGAAAGGTCAGTTAATGGTGCCCATGGAGTTTTCCCGACTTACAATCATTATAGGTTCGATGTGATGGACGCCCAGGTTTCTGTCGTAACTGTGAGCGACTCAGGTTCGACTGTTCTTTTCAGCGGCCGGTTGGCAGCCCAGCGTCCAACAGAGGCTACAAGGACGAAGCCCAGCTGGAGAAGAGACGGGTGCCGACCGCTTGCACCGTGTGCAGATCACTCAAAGTTCGCTGTCCAGGGGAATTCCCCGCCTGTGAAAACTGTGTTCGAAAGAATCGGCAATGCATCTACCTCGCCCTCAAGCAGCCCAGCCACCCATCCCAACCGTGCGCTGTTCCCAGTGACGAAACGCAACAGAATGATACTCTGCCGATCCCGACAGACCTCGAGCCGAAGACTCCCTCCATCCGATCAGAGGGAGGAGTGAGTCCGCCGGAGAGGTTCTCGCCTGACTCTGGCACGGTGATCCCGTTGATTGAAGCTTACTTCGAGCACCTGTACCCTCTTCCCGCTTACGCCTTCCTGCATCGCAAGTCTCTAACTCAAAGGTACCGGGAAGGGTCGCTGGAAAGTTGCTTGATCTTAGCCCTCTGTGCGGTGACCGCCCAACGGCTACGTTTTCAACCATGCTATCCAGAATCGGTTTCAGACTGGGCTGAAAAGGCCGAGCAAGATCTCATGCACAACATCAAATCCCCTTCGATTCCTCGACTACAGGCACTGGTCCTTGTGATCCGATATATGATCGACGTCGGCCAATTTCCCAAGGCCTTCATGCTGGCTGCCCTTGTCGGGAGGGCTGCCGCAGCATTACGTCTCTACTCCGAGAGACCCGATCTTCCCTTTCTCACACAGGAAACGCGGCGGCGGCTGATGTGGTCCTGCGTTCTGCTTGACGGTTCTTTCTCAGTCGCCCTGAGAGAATACGAAATCTGCCCTCCAGAAGCGATTGAGATCCAGCTTCCATGTCCTGACAGAGCATTCGAAGAGGGAACACCAATGGTGACAGCACCAGTCCGAGCGGTCTCCAAGAACTCTGTCGAATTACTCGGTTTGGTTGCCGCAGCGGTGCGACTGACGGCAATTAGGAGGGATATCATGAGGTAATTATCTGGGCACGTTGAGAGCTAGACAAGAATCGTCGAGACTAACCAAGGGCAAAAGATTAACTCGGAGGCTCAAATCCCCAGGTGTCAGCTTTGTCGAGCTGATGCACTCGGTTCAATGTTTCGAAGGTGAAATGCAACGCCTCTATCAGAACTTGTCTGAGCCAAACCGCTATTCATCGCTCATGTTCACCCAATCCGAAGAGCCGGTCCGCTTGCTGTTGGTCCATCTATCTTGGCATCAAGCGCATTGCGATCTCTATCGGATCTTCTTGACAGGGTACCGCGAAGCTGCGCCGGTGTCTACGCTACAGAAGATGAACGAACAGAAGATCCTAGGCCGACAAAGTCTCTGCCTGCAACACGCCGTAGCCATTGTTCACCTCCTTGCCCAATTTTCAGAGCAATGCACTGTCCAGATCATTGATTTTGACACCGCAATTTGCGCGTACCACAGCTCACGTCTGGTCCTCCACATCGCGGGGACAAATGTTCTTGCACAAGGACCCAGTCAAGCGGATGCGCTGCAGATGGCTCGGTCCTGCGCGTCTACCCTCAAAAAATATTTTGGAACAACCGCCATGGCGGACCCTATTGTCAGTGACTCTCGCGTATGCGCCAACGGCTGGGTACGTGCTAACACTTTGTACCAGATAAAGGATCTCGACACTATCATCACCCGGTATTCCTGCGAATGGGGCACAGAACCCGGCCCTCCACCGCAACGCGCTGAAGCAACTGGAGAAGACGACGAAGCCACACAGACCAGAACGAGGCAACAGTTCGCCATTCACAGCCTATTCCGCCAAGCCAATTTTGACGGGGACAGCAACCATGACACGATCATATCCGAGACCACGCCTTCAATGGTCGAATTTCAGCTCGCCACAATGCCGCAAATACGGTCGAGACTGCTGGTGCCCGCGGGGTCAGGAGCAGCCACGCCGCCTGGGGGGCTTCCACATGGCGATTTGCAAAACAGCGGCAGCGAGATGACGCCCGAACAGCAACAAGCAGGACATCTACAAGCAGATCCGGCGCCCACAAGGCCGAATACGCTCGCCGACCCAATGCTGGATTACGACCGCAGTTGCGAGGAGTTGGAAAACGACATGCAACTCGTGTTCAATCCTTGGATGGGGTTTTCGGAATCCCTCGAGTCCTACGGCCTGACGTTGACTCTGGACGAAGACTACTTCTAACCCCATCTGTAGACTGAAGTCACGACGAAAGTAGAAGACAAGGGTACTAAGGCCAGAAAGATTCATCATCACTCTCAATCTCAATACTGTGATTCTTTTGACTTTCTTTGGGCCCCGATCTTGCGCACTCTCACTCAAGATGCTCTGATTCCGTGGGTCAAATTTGGGTGTTTAAAAACCGAGTTTGTGATTGAAATCTAGATTCTCCACAAAATCGCAGAATATACTGGGTAAGTAAGTTTATCTCAATCGAGCAAGATGGTTACCTATATCTACAACCCAGGTCCTGCAGACATGGGATGGAGGCGAGACTGGCCCGGCTTCCCCCTGTAGCGAAGACCATCCATTCCTATAGCTTTGCTTGGGACGCCAGAGGCGGGTGCACGGGCTCGTCCCCGATCTCGGCCATCTTGTCGTCGAGCATCTTGGTCATCTTCCGGACGACGTCCTCGTACTTGGGGTCGTGGTAGCAGTTGAACAGCTCCAGCGGGTCCTCCTCGCAGTCGAACAGCTCCCATTCCCTGGGCTGGCCGCCGGCGCGGGTGCCCTCGAGGCCGAAGCCCTCGTTGTACCAGTAGATCAGCTTGTAGCGCCGGTCGCGCACGCCGTAGTGGGCGTACGCCTCGTGGATGACGTCGCGGTGCATCCAGTACCGGTGGTACGCCACCTGCTGCCAGGCCGCGGGCGTCCGGCCCTGGAGCAGGGGCCGGAAGCTGACGCCCTGCATGTACGTCGGCCGCGGGAGGCCGGCCAGGTCGAGCCACGTGGGCGCGAAGTCGACGTTGCAGATGATGTCGTCGCACACGGCGCCCGGCCGGATCGCGCGCGGGTGCCGGATGAGGAAGGGCATCTGGAAGCTCTCCTCGTACATGAAGCGCTTGTCGAACCAGCCGTGCTCGCCGAGGAAGAAGCCCTGGTCCGACGTGTAGACGACGACCGTGTTCTCGGCCAGCCCCTGCTCGTCGAGCCAGTCGAGCATCCGCCCCACGTTGTCGTCGATGCTCTGGATCGTGCGCAGGTACCGCTGCATGTACCGCTGGAACTTGAATTCGGCCAGTTCGCCCCGGGTCTGGAAGGTGAAGACGGTCCCGTCGTCCTTGTCGATCAGCCGGAGCCGAGACACGTCTTCCGGCGCGGGGATCTTGCGGTCGAGCCACCACCACTGCGGTATCAACTTTGCGCCGACGTGGCTTCCGCCATCGGGCTGGACGAGGCCGAGGTCGTGGTACGTCAGGTCCTCCTCGACGCGCATCTTCGCAACCTCGGCGGCCCGCGCGCGGTTCTTGTAGTCGTCGGTGAAGGTGTCGGGCAGGCGGACCGGATCTTTGTAGAGGTGCTTGTGCTTTTCGTCGCATTCCCACGACCGGTGCGGTGCCTTGTGGTGGCACATCAAGAAGAACGGGCGCCGGGGGTCCCGCTTCCGCATCCAGTCGATGCTTTTGTCCGTGATGATGTCCGTGGCGTAGCCCATCTCGACCTTGTTGCCGCCCGGCTCGATGAACGTCGGGTCGAAGTACTCGCCCTGTCCCGGCAGCACCGACCAGTAGTCGAATCCCGTCGGCTCGTGCGCCTCGCCTTCTCCGAGATGCCACTTGCCCACCATCGCGGTCTGGTAGCCCCCGGTGCGCAGGTGTTTGGCCACGTTGGGGATGCGCTTGTTGATTTTGCTGTCGAGGGTCATGACGCCGTTGACGTGGTTGTGCGTGCCCGTCAGAATGGCGGCCCTGGACGGCGTGCAGATCGAGTTGGTAACGTAACAGTGATTGAACTTCATCCCTTCCGTGGCCAGGCGGTCGAGATTCGGCGTGTGGTTGATGCCCGCGCCGTAACAACCGATGGATTTCGACGCATGGTCGTCTGCCATGATGAAGATGATGTTGGGCCGACCGTCCCTTGCGTCGGCCACGTGTTGTGAGGCATGGACGCCATTCACTTCCCGCGGTTCGTGCAAAAGCATGGTTATTTGTTTGTTGACTGGGGTTTAAGCTGGCATGAAAACGAAATCAATGAGTGACCGCTCCAAGACTGTTTTATTTTCGATCGAACCGCCGGGCTCTTTGTCCTGAGCGTGAACCAGAGTCCTGCATCTAACTCGGGGACACATTCGTTCGTCCAAAAGGGCAGTGCGCCGTTCCACGGGAGTCGGTGGCCTTCATCCAACATAGTTGACGAGATCCGCCACGGAAGTCGGTGAGGCTCACGGGAGCCGGTGTCAGTAGCTCTGGAGACAGAGCCATGGCTGAGAATGTGGGATTCTGTCGAACCCTATTACATATTGCCCTTGGGAACCCCGAAGAAGGTGCATGATCTGGAAACATGCAGTATTTCGATGATCCAGTCGGGCCCGAATAGTCCACCACGTCCGAATAACCGATCTGTGATGGGATGGTTCAGGCCCTGCCAATGTCGTACGTCGAACGACTAGACACTCAGATGATAAAAATCCGTGCATTTTGCCTTTAGGAGACTTTGAGAGCCCCGGAGAGAGTCGAAAAATACTCGCTGAGGCTTTTGCATCAAACCAGAACAAATCCACTCCGATTTTGTCGAAAATGTCGCGCAGGCCAAATTTCCTCATCGTCGTGGCGGATGATTTGGGATTCAGCGACACAGCACCCTATGGATCCGAGATTCCAACACCCACATTGGACCGCCTTGCGCGAGAGGGAGTGACGATGACGGGTTTTCACACTGCGTCTGCATGCTCTCCGACCCGGGCCATGCTGTTCTCGGGAACAGACAATCACATTGCCGGGCTGGGTCAGATGGCCGAGTACATGCGAAGCCGTCCAGAGCTGTACAAGGATCGACCTGGCTACGAAGGATACCTGAACTGGCGAGTGGCAGCCTTGAGCGAAATTCTACAAGATTCCGGCTACTGGACGATGATGTCGGGGAAATGGTGAGTCGATACTGAGGAATCGTGTCATACAGGAGGAACCCTGGCTAACAGAGTGAACGCGGTATAGGCACTTGGGGCTGAAGAGGGAGTTGGCACCATGCTCACGAGGGTTCAGAAAAGCATTTACTTATCTCGCTGGCGCTGGCAACCACTATAACAACGAGCCCCAGCTCGATGACACTGTGCCGCATCTCCCCTCCGTATGGGGTGACGGACTCTGGATGGAGGGCGACGTCTTTCTCGACCGCCACCAAGAACTCCCCAAAGACTTCTACTCCACAAAGTCTTTTACAGACAAGTTCATCGACTATTTGGGAGCCAGGAATGACGCAGAACGCGAGCAGCCTTTCTTCGGATATTTGGCGTTTACAGCTCCTCACTGGCCTCTCCAGGCTCCCCAGGAGACCATTGCAAAGTACCGTGGCATTTACAGCGACGGGCCCGAGGCTCTTCGACTGAAGCGACTACAGAGCTTGATACAGCGAAGGCTGGTGCCCGCCGACGTCAAGGCGGCAGATATGATCGGCAATATGCCCAAAGAATGGGCGAAGATGGACGATGCCGAGCGTGCCAATTCGGCACGAAGGATGGAAACGTATGCGGCCATGGTTGATTTGATTGACCAGAATCTTGCTCGAGTGGTCGATTATCTCGAGTCAACCGGAGAGCTCGATAACACGTTTATACTGTTCATGTCGGACAACGGGGCCGAGGGCCAACTTCTCGAGGCGCTTCCCATCATGCGACAGAGTCCGTTGGTGGTAGTCCAGAAGTTCTATGATAACAGCACCGAAAATATCGGAAATGCCAACTCATTTGTCTGGTATGGCCCGCGATGGGCGTGCGCGGCTACAGCCCCCAGCAGAGGGTACAAGGCTTGGACCACGGAAGGAGGGATCCGCTGTCCTTGCATCGTCAGATATCCGAAGTTCCCAAGGAGTTCAGGCTCCATTTCGCACGAATTCTGCACGGTCATGGATATCCTGCCGACCGTGTTAGATTTGGCGCAGGTTCCTCATCCCGGGACATCGTTCCGTGGGCGGGACGTGGTCCTCCCTCGCGGCAGATCATGGGTGCCGTATTTGTCCAATTCAGCGGACGGCTCCGTGATCCATGACGAGCAGTCCAGCATTACAGGGTGGGAGCTCTTCGGCCGCAGAGCCATCCGCAAGGGACGCTGGAAAGCCGTCTACATCCCGGCGCCCATGGGGCCTGATGAGTGGGAGCTGTTCAACTTGGAGACTGATCTGGGGGAGACGACAAATCTTGCCAACGAGAAGCCAGAGATCCTAGAGGACTTGCTGACGCGGTATGCTGAATACAGCGACGAAGCTGGGTTATACGACCCTGAAGCCTTTGTTGTGGGGCCCGTGAAATGAATGACAGAGTCAAGAATCAACCAAGTGTTGAAAGTCGCCGTGATAGCTGCCGTGCGTAGTTAGTAGTAGGAGTTGTTTTGGTGTATAGCTGATGAGCAACCCCGTTTACTCGGTGTACAGTCACCGCCCCCTCGATAGCCTCACTAGTCTTGACCGATTGCCGTGGTGGGGATGCCGCAGGAACCGCTGGAGCTGTGGCCACAATTCTCCTTACCAGTCCGGAGTACAGGGGAGACGGTGGTCCCATCCGCCGCACTATTTAGGGTCCTGGTCTTCTTCGGCAATCATGTATACAGTCTCCCCAACCCCTTTTCACCAACCAGAGCATATCATATAGAGTCGGCTTCCCCCCAAAAACAGCTACCCAATAGACTAGGTAGTCTAGGCGATCTCAATTCAGAGACTGGAACTAAGGTCAGCGCCGAAGCACTCACCATTGCAGAGTCTAGACCCAAGAGTTTCAACAGACCGATGGCGGGGGAAAATGATCCCTTTCACGCAGAGGGTTCTGCAATCGCGACACAGGCGACAACGGGGCCAAGGTACAAAGATAGCAGTGCCCCTATCGCCGACCGGGTGGCCGATCTCTTGTCGCGTATGACTCTCGCAGAGAAAGCCGGACAAATGTTCCACGACATGGTGCTGAATCCACTTGATCTAACGACCCAGGGCCCGAAGAGAGTCGTCCCGAGCGCTGAAAGCAAGGTACAGGAGCTGCAGATGAGCCATTTCAACTTATTGGGTGCTGTGAACGACGCTCGCCGGGCGGCGA